AATAATATTTCCAATTGTCCATCAATGCTTTTAAAACTGGGATAGGGATGTCAAATACTCACACACCTCTGTGTGATCACTTACAACAGTTCTTCTAGTGCCACCATGAGGCCAAAGTTGAGGTCACTTTTTGCCTACAACTTATGAACTTAAGAAGAAGAAGAAGAAGAAGAAGACTCTTTTAAACCCACCTAAATCCAATTAAGACAACTGTCCAACAAATGAAGTCTGATTAATCTCACCCAAAAATACTGACCTCCATTCTGAGTTTTGTCTCATACCAGTTAATCAAATTTTCACTAGTCTTAGCCTGTTATGGTTACTTAACAGGATTTTCATTCTCCATAGCCACGGCTTGACAAAGTCGCCTTCTGTTAATTGATACAGGATTTATAGAAAAGCTTTGCTTTGAACCCTGATTCCAGATTCCAACAGTGTTTGGTTGTGAAACTGTGACCGTAATTGACATCATCACTCTTTCATTCAGCTTGAACTAATCACACTGGAGCTTTTAAAAGTCACATGCCAGCAAAGCGGCTGTTTGTGCCACGGATTCCACATTTGACTGACTGCAATAATTCACCTTTGGACTGAAATGTGCATTTAAGATACTCTTTTATGGTAGGCAATTTATTTCAGAAGCATTTGTGTTATATTTGTTGAAATTCTCTTTAGGTCCTGACAGCAATCAATAAATCAAGCTGAACAGCTGCCCTACCTGCCTGTCTACCTGCATGCACTCTGCCAATGCAGTCATTGAACATGAAAATGTGTTTTAGGTGTGTGGCTTTGGAGGGAGGGGGCAGGATACTTTTCGCTGTCTTGTGCTAGTTCCTCAACGTTGCCTACCCAAGCTTTAAGTGTTGTTTTTATTTTTATTTAAGATAAATAAATCAAGACACTTGCATAATTGCAGGATATCTCTTGGGTGGTTATTCTGCAGGTATAAATATTCAGGATCCTCGACTTTACACGGTCAAACCTACTCTTCTGTCTTTACACAGATTCATGCAGAGCTAAGCACAAGGCACAGCCTAGTGCTAATCTCATTAAATCACCAAACTACGGCTGGGCAATAAAACAATAATGATAATTATCACAATATAATTTTCCTCAACAACAATATAATACATTTTCAATATACTGTCAATAAATATTTGCTTTAATTCATTTGAATCACGGACAAATTAGCACCTAATTTTTCTATTAAAATATTTATTTTGTTGAAAAAAAAAAAGAGGCCTGAAAAAAGATTAACTAATCATATTTGTTGAAAAAGACAATAGTTTTGAATGTTGTGACTCAGACTTGTGAAGTGATCCACTGTTTGGCATCAAGTGTTTGTTCCATTCTGACCATAAAGAAGAATTTAACCACATAATTAACCATCTGGTTTCTTCAATTTTCTCTCAGGAGCAAAAATCAGCCTTTAAACAAATAATGATTTGACATTTATCGTGATAATTATTGATATTGAATGAAATGAAATGTTTTTATCGTGACATTTCGTGACACAACATTTTTGGCCATATTGCCCAGCCCTACACCAAACTATGGACACTAGAAGTGTTTCTACGAAGAATGAAAAACATGAGTGCTACATTTCTTCTACAGTAATGTGAAGGGCCATATCAGACTGGAAAGTGACTACTGCAGCGTGGTGGTCTCAACACAATCACACACACAACAAGCACAGAGGTCCGCTTGGTATCTGCCGGCAAGCAGTAAAAGTATGACAAACGTCAGGGGCAGCAGGAAAACGGGAAACTCTGTGCTTGTTCCCATGGGCAGCAACTGCATCCCCCATACTGAACCCCTGCTAAGTGGGGAGGCAAAGCTATCGCCAGGCTGTCACTGATATGAACTTGCCACTTGCCAGTCTGAAGAGCCTTAAAGTGTCATCACACATGTGCAGCATGCATGGCCTCACTTAAACACATGTTTAGACAGTGAAGCCTAAGAATTAAATATGTAAATATTAGACCATAAGATGTGAGACACGTAAGCTTTTTTTTGCTTATGCCTAGGACGGTTGTCTTCCTTTGACGCTTTGCACAAAAGGGCTAGCACACACCAAAAATTAAAGTAAAAAAGGTTGGGACCGTCTCCACAATAACATTTTGAAAGGAATGACTGAACTGTCAATGCATTACCAGGCTTTCAGACCAAAAACAGCACAGCGTTGTTGTTTCAGGTTGATACAGGTGAGATGATTAAATACCATCCAAGTCCAGTTTGGTTAACAGAGCCATGAATATGAAGGCGTATTAGATGCAAAAAAATTACATAATATCTTTAAATACCAGAAAGAAGGATTTTACAATAGAGAAAAGCTACCAGGAATGTCTGTTAAAATTGAATTGGCCAACCGTCTGTCTGAACATGGCCTCAGCCGGTTCCAAGACTGTTGAGATATAGAAAATATGTAGGTGTACTTGCAATTTCAGCCACATGATGTGTCAAGTCCAGTGCTGTAATTTCAGGAACCAGTGACCTCAATGCGTATACACACCATGAATGTTGTGATTTGTATTTTTGTGTGATGCATTTGTTGCCACTGAATGGGTTTAACTAGCTATGGAGCAATCAGGTGGGTACAAGAAACAAAGCATGCAGGCAGGGTAATCTAGCTGTAACATCTGCTTTGTTTAGCTTCTTTGTTCATGTTGCTTGCTTTCAATTTTGTGAAAGCAGGGTAACATATTGGTCTCTGTTAATGCTGTACGTTAGCCTACAATGAATCACTGGGCAGTTTTGCATAGGCTCATACCATTAGAGGAAAAGCAAAGCGGTCATGCTTGCTCACCAAGCTTTCTCTTGTACTGTGTAATCAAGTGGGGTGAGGGGTGGGTACTCCACCCAACAGCCCTCAGCACTCACAAAATAGCAGAGAGGTCACAGTTACCCTGGCCTGCAGGTTGGACAGGTTAAAGTGTGTGCTAGGTATTTAAGGCAACTACGCAGGGTGTTAAATATTCTTGACAGAGTCAGGGGTGTGCACCAACACTTTCAGGGGAACATCAAACCAAACCAAAGTGAGGGCAGGGAGGACCAGATAGGAGTCAGCACCGGTTTCTCACACCTTATACCAGTAGTTTTTCCTGTTAGATACAAGTAACTTAACATGTGTGGAAAGAAACCTTCCATTTGCCATTTGAAAAGGGAAATTTTGCACCCAAGACAAAAGACCAAGGTGGTCCGTGGTCACCCTCTCTTCTTCTCTTCTGTCCCCGGTGCACGCCACTGCTCATAAATAGCTTTAACGTAAACTGTCGTTGCTGATGGAGGGAAAACACGAGAGAGATGTTTTAACAACTCCACGAAGCAGCTAAGTTAGCTGCAGTAAATCTCGTTAATGAAGCTAACTCGGCTTCGTGTTTAGAGATGACAGTTAAATGAGAAACAATGAGTGGTAAGCAAGCGATTACACAGTCAAACAATGCCAAAGCACAAGAAAAAAATGAGTGTTTTACCAAGCCAGACGCTACTTACAGTGACATTAGTACATCTTGTCCGGCTAATCGCCAAGTTACAGTAAGCTAATTTTGTTCCTGCCAACACTGTCAGAATAGTGACAGCAGACATATGCCCTGACCCTGGGTAACATCACCGTACGAATCGCCGACACGTACACGTAAAATACGCACCGGTTTTTGCATTTACACACCATACTGCACGTCTCAAATCAAATTACAGACTGAAATTGTTCAGCAAAGCAAATGAGACTCACCACTGAACTCCGATCCGCAGGTTACAAGGTGTTAAAATTTGCTGTTTTCCGGCTGAGTCACCCCACCCTCCAACGCCCATTCTCACTAGACGAGGAGCTGAGGGCGGCCAGCTGATTGGACAGCACTTCACCGGCGTTGCAGCTGATTGGCCCGCCAGCGACATCTGTTGCGACTTTGACCAATCGCGTCTTGATGCGTTGATCATTCAGAACATCATGCAGCTTTCCGTCTTGTCAGTCTGTGTCACATCACTTTCTTTTCCTATTAATACATATTTATTCGACGCAGATTTCACTCAATACACCACCATCTCTATTTTTTATATAAATGAAATATTTTTCTAATAAAACTTTAAATTTAAAAATTTCTAGTAAATTAGTAAAACATCGCAATGTGCAATGTGCTTCTGTTTCACTTAATCCATTAGTCGTTCAACAGATCCGCTGAAAACTAATTGGTAACAATTCTGACAGTAGATTCATTGTAAAAGTAATTTTATCAACCAAAAATGGCAAAACAAAACAAATCTCGTTGGAGCTTCTCAAATGTGAAGGTTTGCCGTCTCTGTTTTAAATTATCTTAAATTGAATATCTGAAAATTGTGGGTTGTTTTTTTTTAAATCACCAATTATAATTCTAGGCAAAGAGCAACACTGTTTTTCACAGAGGGAAATACAATGCACAAAGTTCGCATCTTTGATTAAATAAACCTGCATTACACATGTTTTAACACCAGGGTGCAGCCATGCACTTGATAAGAGACAAACAATATTTGGAAGAAGCTTTGTATAAAATTCATCACTATTATGGCTACTTTGCTAACTATGCTGATAAAGTAGACTGAACATAGACCAGATAAAGAAAGGATGTATTGTGGGAAAACTGTGGTGTTAGGCAAATACCTGGGGATGGATGCTGTCACTTTAAATGTTGAAAGGACAGGCTTGTGCGGATGTCTTTAAAAAGTGCTGATGATAATAATAATAATAATAATAATAATAATAATAATAATAATGAACTCATATGCTGATAACATTGCCTGGGAGCGACATTCTCCCTCCTAATATTCACTATGAGATTCAGTGCTGGATGGCTGCTTTTATGTTACCTCAGATGGTGGGTCTATGTGATGAATTATAGACAATAGGTTGAGGGCAGCCAACAGTGCATTTATGACAGATAATAAATGTGCACTGCCAAACCAAACCAATTGAAGTGTGCCGTTCTGGAATGGAAAAAGAAAGAAAAAAAGGAGTTCATAGGCAAAAATTGTGATATTGTGTCAACACTTTATTATGCATCACCACCATGCAAAATCACTGCTATGAACTTGCCCAAAAATCAAACTAGATATATTTCACACATTTATGATTTTAGATTGGCTTGCCACTTTTCCCAAAGTGACTGAGTAAAGTTTCACGCACACTCATAAAATACATCAAGAGTGTGTATGTTTGTGTGCAAGTCACACAGAGATGTGTGTGTGTGAGAGCACTGACGCTAACACATGGAACAATGGCAAATGATCCGTGGTCTAACCTTAATTCATAAACTACTTAGTAAACAAAATTTGTTCAATGCCCTTACCAGTGTAAACCTTTGAATTTGAGTGATTTGGAAGTCTCTGTGTTACATCGTTTTCACCAACACATTCAGATATTAGAACCAATCCATCTATAGCTTATATTTAATAAACAATTTATATATCGTCATACGTTTGCAGAACAAATCCCTCTGCAGATAAAATCACTTCTCAGCATTAGATTTAATGAGCTTAGCCTCATTTGTCCAGTGAAGGCAACTAGCATTGCTGCTGTTTTGCTACATGCTGCATTGACAGTTTGAAAAAGCTCTGCTGAGAGGTCATCCAATCAGCTAAGGCAGTGTGCATTATGATTACTAATGTATCAAATAAAACAAACTTATCTGATCGGCCTGCTCCAAAAAAACCAAGTCAAAAAACAATACAAAAGCCACTCAACAGCAACAGTAAGAAATCTATGGAATAGTGGTAAAATCTGTCGGAGTTATACATTTACAAAATATTGCAAATTTTATCATCTATAACTTCAAGTCCAACACTTTAACCTCATTATTTTCAGAAACGTTTCAGTTTGCCACCCTAACAGTGTAGTTGTACATTTGCTTGACAACTCATGTAAAAAGGCTAAAAATTAAGAAATAATTCCCCAAAGTTATGTGGTTTTTATGGCACCTGTGGTATAATAGACACATCACCAATTAATCTCTTTACATCAGCTCACAGTATAACTTTAAATATGCGGTTGGTTAAAAAATATATCTTTACGTAAATGTATTCTGTGGTTGGAACTTAAATTCTTCGTATCTTCAGTTCTCTGTAACGTCAGCCCAGTGTTGTCTCCTCCAGTGTCTTCTACTATTGTTGCTTTTCATATTGCTCACCTGTTAGGAATACAGAACATGTACTAACAGTAGTTTTGTAGTCAAGACAGCCCAAACTGAGACCAAGACCAAGACCAGAGTTTATCGAGACTGAGACAAGACCAAGACTTTTAGGGGCTGAGACCAGTCGAGACCAAGACCGAGGGAGGGTGAGACCGAGTCAAGACCAAGACCAGTTCCCCACATTACATGAAATGTGGAACGAGATCATAGGTACACATTGATCTAAAAGATCCACATTCCCATTAAAACACCCACATACAAACACTAAGAGCTGAAATCAATGTAAGTATTGTATTGCAGGGAGGGGTGACAGTCGTCAAGGGTAACAACACATTTTTAATTAGGGTTATTGGTTGCATTTCAAGCAAAATGTTTTACATCCAATTAAAGTTAGGATGTTAACAAATAAATCAGTCAATGCAAAAGCAATTTATTGATATTCCCAAAGTTATGGTCTTGACTGGTCTTGAAATAAAATCCGGAGTCCTCAATGTCCGAGACCGAGACAAGACCAAGTACAAATGCAGTCGAGTCCGAGACGAGACCAAGACCATCAAAAAGTGGTCTTAAGACCGGTCTCAAGACCAAGACCGGTCTTGAGTACTACAACACTAACTAACTGTAATGGAAGTGCTCAACATGTAAAGCAAAGGCCAGATAAGTATGTTTACATACAGATCATTTGAAAATAGAGCTTGATTATCCACATCCAGACTATAACATAAGACTTTTTAATAACTTTTAAGTTTCAGTGGCTCCTTTCAATGTTTGACCATATTTCCTTGAAACTCTTAAGTCATCAGAAACCTGAATAATGCTAGAATCACATTACACATACATGTCATGCAAATCCCAAAAACGATCAAAATTAGGATTACACTCAAAACCAGGATACTAATACACATGTAAACATACTTTAAAAGGAATAAAAGGCCAAACACCTAAAGCATTGATAAAAAAAAGTCTCAGCCGTCAGACTGACAGTTGCAGATACTCACCAGTTGCCTGGACTAACACAGTCACTGCTGCAGCGTCACCTGTACCACAGTATGAACGCCACCAAAACACACACACACACACACACACACACACACACACACACACACACAGCAGGTTAAGGGGTATGTATTGACAATGAGTAATTTAATGATTCAAAACGCACAATATGCCCCCTTCTCCTTCCTTACAGTCTTGGAAAGCTAGAACTCACCATGCACGCTTTGTCTGGGTCCTGCCTGTGCTTCATAAGCTCCTCCAACGTGAGCTCGTCCTCCAGCTGCTGCTCCAGATCGTTTTCAAAGCTCTCCGCCTCTGCAGCGCTGGCACTTCTTCAACAGATTAACAGGCAGTTTAAAACCACACACAAGATCGGAAGTGTACCTAAACACTAAAGTAACACAATTTAATACAAAGCTTTGAAGCTGCAGGCCCACCAATTTGTAATTTCTCATAATAACCATTATATTTTATTCAAATCAGTGGTTTATAGAGATGTAGGAGATGAACTGGTCTATATGCCAGTATGACACAAAGAAACACTTCAGGGAAAGCTGGCAACAGAGCAAATAAACTGTCAGTAAAACAGTTTCTCAGGTTAAGCAGTGACAATGGATGAGCTGAGAAAGCGTAGAAGAAGAGACTAAATAAAAAGGGTTTTGAATTTGAAGGGGGGATTTTGACAGGAACAAAATGGTGATGAGCCATTTGAAGCTATATCAGGTCAAGATATGCAGTCTTCGTACCTTGGTTTATATGTGAAGAAGGGATCTGAAGAAGTTGTGGCCAATAGGTCAACACGTCCAAAGTCTGAATCCACAGTGCTCTCAGTCTCACTTCCACCCTCTGTGGAAAAAAAGTCATTTTAAAACAGCTGTTGTGTAAAAACTCAGACAACAAAAGAGCTTCATTTTGGTTCAATTTTACCTGAATTGAGTTCCTTAACCAGTGATGACATTGTGTTGGTGATGGAGTCAGCAGCAATGAGTAAGTCATTTCTCAGATTTCTCCTTGGACCTTTAAAAAAAAGTTTTAAAATAGGATTACATGCAGCTTCGAGCCATTCTTTGGACACATGTCCATAAGCAAATGTATACTTCTGTATGTGACTGTGTTACCCTGAGCAAAGGCCTCCTGAACATCCCCTCCCACGCCCATGAGTGAGTCCTGAGGTGTGTGAGTCGGGGTCGTGCCGGCAGAGTCCGAGTGGATTGGTGTGGGGATCGGCCGGCTGATGGTGTGGCTCGGGGAAGAGCGAGGAGAGCCGGGACCCTGAGTCTGCAACAAATACAAACCGTTTTAGTGTTAACTAGTGCCGCTGTGTTGACATCGTCAAAAGCCATGCTGTAATGAAACGGTCTAAGAAGAATATGATATTATCTGGATCAAAAGGTTTCTTATCAAAGCAAACCTTCCACAAGCAATGCAACAAATAACTCTTCTCATTTTCGGAGCTCAAACCACAGCAAAGAATCTTAATTCAAACGACAAAAACAGCTACAAACAATTCAACCATTGTTTTAAGTCGACACCACAATAGCTTTATAAGTAACAATAACTTACATTCCACACATGCTAGAAATGTACAGTATGAGGAGTAATTAAGCTGAATTATCAGTATTTTCCAAATTCTCAACATGCTGTTATACACATTTTTCTGTCTAAAATTATTACCACAGACCAAACCACAAGTTGGTGCTGTCTGGAGAACACCATGTATCTCCAAATTTCAGATAAGCTGAATATTTACAGTACTTTCATCTCTTAATCTTTACAAGTTTGAATTGTGTAGATACAAAGTTTTCACCCGACAACAGCAAAGTATTTCAAACATGCATGCAATAATTTTAAATCCGAGTGTAGTTTCAGTCTCTTTTTACTTCACAGTTTTCACACTTACACCTTGTTTGCATTCCTCCTCCAGCTGGAAAACAACATTTTATGGCTCATGAAACACCAGCCAAGTTACATTGTGTATTTCAAAAAATAGAAATCCAATCAGTATTTCCTCTAGGACGTGACAAGCATATGTCTTTCTCATGCAAGTTTAATGGATTAACACTGATCGTTTTAGGCTAGTTAGATTTATATCCTCCCCACTTAAGACAGTATGTTATGTTAGTTAGTTATGTAGGCTTTGAGGATCTCCTGTCTTGTTGTCACACTTAAGGCTATCCTCCTTAGAGAGGGGGTAGACATGTTGTCTTGTAAGGTGTGATGGAGCATAATCCCAAACTCAATATCCTGAACTCATTGATCAGGACATTAATGATTTACAAAAATATACAGTGAATTTTGTGATGATGCAAATGTATAAATAAACAGTGTTTATTATATTAACAAATACCAAAACACATCTTTGGAGCTTGCTGTCACTTATTAATTGACAGACAGGAGCAAGACTAACATTAGACACCAACTAGATAACACATTTTGCGGATGCTGTTAAAGGTTTGATTACATCAATGATATTTAGAAATATTGGAACAGGCCAGTATATATATAAAAAAATTATCTGGTGAGAATCCCACAAAACCAGATGTTTTATCTATAGCTATAAATCTTAAAATATACATGTGAATTTCCTGTACTTTTTATTTTTACAGTCAAAACAATGACATATAAGGCCTCAACAAAGCTTGACTACTAAAAGATGTGCGCCATCTATTGGACATGTTGGGTAATGCACACATTTCCTCATCTGCAAAGTGCAGTGTTTGCTTTATGTTAGCTGGAGTGATCGCCCACAGCTGGGAGTAATTGTTCTACAAGGGAAATTCATCATCTGGCCATATTGCTTACCACCTGCCTCAAAATAAGAAACAAAAAATACAAGTTACCTTACCATGTAGTTTTATATAAACATGCAAACATTAGCTGCAGAATAGAACTGATTCTGGTCAGGAAGCAAACTAGAAACTAAATTACCACAACCTTATCGTTCCCCACAGGAAACACCCTGTGTTCGCTCAGTAATCATGAAGGCATCTTAACTGCATTCTGTATTTGAGTGCTGTGAAGTCAAGGAGATGAAAGGCACGTCTGTACTACCTTGAGAAGCATCATTAGCTGCTCCAGCTGCACCATGAGTTCCCTGCGACTCTCCTGCAGAGTAGACATTCTTTGTTCTAGCTCATCTTTGCGTTGCCTAACAGGAGGAGAGAAGTTGTACAATGTGATGATACCATAATGTCACGTCAATAGCAAAATGGAAAATGTGTATGAGCATCTGTAGACTCTAACATACGCTGTTCATTTGTCAAGTAAAAAGCAATTACAATTATGTACGTTTTATTGCAGCCTAAGCAAAAATGTCTGTTATAAACGCACTGCACAGTGAAAGATTAAAGCAGGCGGAGTTACCTGAGAAGTCGTAGCTCAGCCAGCAGAGTGGGGTTCTGCTGACCCTTGTCAGGTGGTGGCTGGGAGGCCTCCTCATGCTGAAGGCGCAGCCGCTGGATTTCCTGTAGGATTTCTCTATGACATGCACAAACATATGCAATTACAACACAAGGTTATATTTCAGACATGGCTGTATGACCATAGGTCAACACAAATTACAGGGAAGCTGCATTACTAGGCCATACTATATGCACAAATTTGGAATAACCTCCCAGATGATCTTACTGTAGGCCCTGTCATTTGACAGTCTAAACCAGTGGTCCCAAAGTGGGGTCCAGGGAGTACCAGGGGTCCTTGAGGGGGTTCTAGGGGGACCCCAGCAAAAAGGGGAATAATTTATATCACTTTAATTCCATCCATAAGTAACACAATGGCAGAATATATGACTATTTTGGTCATGGGTTTTAAACACTTTCTGTAATAAAACATCTAATCTTATCAAAGGGGGTCTGTGGGTTAATTTGTGTCAGTTTAGGGGTCTTTGATGTCAAAAAGTCTTAGAACCACTGATCTTAACATGCAAAACAACAAGCAAAACACATTTTATTTTGGCCACATGGGGGCAGCGGAACAGGCTGTGAAGCTTGGTTATTTACAAGTCCAGCAGATGTGGAGTAACATTAGTTTGTGTCCACCTGACCATTTTATGTTCAATATTCACTCTCTTTCAGCTGTTTTTGGTCTGGTCTCTACCAACTGCAAATGACCATATCTAACTCTTTAGCTGTTAAACGCTCCACTATGTTCACCAGCTATTTGTTAACCGTTTAATGCTCGAAAGGTTAGTACACATGCGTCTGCTGTGCCCAAAAATGTTGCTATGGGAGAGGGGGTCCAAAACAGTAAAACAGTGAAGATGCAGGCTGGAAAACAAAACAATGAGGTGAAAGATGCTATGGACCTTTTTCACAACATTTATTTTGCCTTGTCATGGTAGCAAAACCACAAGTGATACTAATAACGTAAGCAATGGCTCAAGTGTCCCTGTAAGGCATCACAGTGTGACAGGTAACAGCAGAGTACTAATTCTCTGTGGGTTCCTCGCCACAAGTGACCCCTGTCATATACAAGTGGTCATGAGATACATTATTTATATAAAAGTATTAATTATAGGTGCATTTAAATCTACGTACTTCTTCAGTGTTGCCTATAATTGAACTTCTGTCTCCACTTTGGTTATATTCTTCTTTTTCTTCTTCTTTTCCAAACAAGCTAGCTAGTGGGCAACAAGGGTTCTCCATCGATCGCGGTCAGCAGTTCTTCGGCCTCATCCCAGGAGACGTTGAGGGCCTTGAGGTCACTGATGAAGGTCCGCCGCCAGCCAGGTCAGTCGTGGCGTCGGCCTTCAGGTGGAACCCAGCGAAACGCCTTCTTCAGGATTCGTGCGATGATCTCGCTTAACTTGGACCTAAGGACCTCCTCCTTGGTTATGTGGTCGAAGTAACGTATCCTCAGTATCCGCCCAAGGCAGTGTTGGTGAAAGACGTCTACTCTTCTTTTCTTCTCTTGGTTATATTATTCAGTATTATTTATTCATCTAATTTAATGTTAAATTTGCTGTTACTTACAATGATGAAGTCTTTTTAACTGCTTTTATTTTCTGTCTTACCCTAGTTTACTATTTTTAAGCAATTTGTAAGGTAGGCTACTTGGAATTTGACACTGTCTGAAAAATGCTATACAAATAAATTGCCTTGAATATACATAGGCCTATTTTGTATACTGCTACATGCAGTTAGTTACCTCCTCAAAAATGTTAATATTTGGTAAAGAAATGTATAATAATGAAAGTTTCTACTAATAACACTAAGGTCTGTTTATTCTGTCAGACCAAGAACCCCTCAGTTCTCAAGGTGAGTTTATTGTTGAAGAGTTAAAAAAAGGAGAGGAGACAACGAAAAGAAAAGAAAAGAACAGAACAGAACCGTATCACTAAAGCAGTCATCCCTAACCTGTTTTTGCTCTCGAGCTCGGCAATGAGCTGCCTCTGCTGTTTGTTGGCATCCAGAGAGCAGGGGAGGTCTGTGGGGACCCTCTGCTGTTGAGCCTGTCGGTGAAACCAAGCAAGAGACATCACGTGAACCGGCTTTACCTCTGGATGATGTCATCCACTACCTTATCTCAAATCTCACAGGGAGAACAAAACAGTCAAGTCACCAACCATCCATAAAGACCTGATCAGAACATAAACAGGCATAAGGGTCTGGTTAGAAATGATCATCACCTTCATCATCTTAGCAATAAAAAGGAGTGAAACCCCTGAAGGTATGGGTAGCAGCGAACGTTAAACCTTCTTCTCACCAAGGACAGATTTTTAGCAGTGAACGATGAAAGATGGTATGATACTGTGTGCAATAAATTTCTTATATATCTCTCTCACCGCAGCATCAGCAGCCAGTCTAGCAGCATAGCGGGCGATGAGACTGTGCTCTTCATCTTGATGGTTACTGCTCTCCAGCAAACTGATCATGAGGAAAATAGAGATGGGAGTCACAACATTAAACAGTTACTAGGCTGCTATGCAGATATAAACTATGCAGGGAAAAAAATGCAAACATTCAAGTTTAGTTTGTTCAGGAGTCAGATTAGTTCTTCGGCAGGAAAGCTTCATACGTTTCACAGCAGAGGCCCCAAGTAATCATGCTAAGCTAATTGTGTAAAACCACTAAAGCAGGAATAAAGTTGGGTTACTGTATAAAAGCAGAGGTGAAGTAATCATTCACTCTGTATTTAAAGTCCAGAAGTGTTACTTACACAATCTGATCTTTAATACCATAAAAATATGGTTGTATATGTATATGCAAGCACACATACAGTAAAAGCAGTACGGAGGATATGGGGGGGGGGGGCAAACATGATGGATGACATTGCATTGCAACCAGCATTAAAACACACAAACAAGCATATTAGTGCACACAGAAAATACAGGCATCCGTTTGTTTGTAAGAGAAGAAATAAGCAAAAATGCCCCAAAGAGGAGAGACTATTCCCAGTGATCAAATACAAACCAGTCACTTTACACCTCAGTTTTATTTTTAAAAATGTACACACAATTTTCAGACCAAACAGTGCAAACTCATTTTAGAGATTCCCTTAATTTATAATTCTATTGGTTAATAATAATAATAATAGTCAAGTCGGAGAAAATAACTGTATTAAAAAGTGTTCAAAGTATTTGGTACAAATTAACTAGTGGTAACTAGGAGTTATACAATTTACCTTTTTTCTTTTACCAATTTGTAAAAGATAACAAAACATGCAATAGGTCTTTTAAGGACTTAAATTTGAAAAACGTCATTTCACTTTGGAATCAAATCTGTACCGGTTTCTAGGTAGAAACAAACTTTGATTCCATTTTGGTTGTTTCTGACTGACACAAATCAGTCAAAAACAACTATTGCTGCTGAATAATACAAATGCCTTGACAAAAGAAAAAAAGGTCAAGGTAAACAGTCTGTAAAACTGACAGCATGCAGCGTTAAGGCTGTAACACACTCAGCATAAGGATGGGTTAGGGGAAGGACTGCGAGGTGGCAGTTCAGCAGAGCACATAGTTTCCACTGACACTAGCACCACACCAACTAACCAGGTTTTGGGGTTGTTTTGGAGTAGATTCACATAGAGGCCAATCAGAGCATGTTCGTCAGCAAGTCTATCAGCAACATCAAGGTTGTAGTTCAACCTGGAACAGTGCAGGGTTTCACAAAACATAAAACATTACATTACACAGGTGACAATAGAGGGACAGGGAAAGACAGTGGAGAGGAAGCAGAGAGAGAAAAGGAGAAAACGCAACAAAGGAAAAGAGGAGGAGAGTCGCTGAAAAGCAGCCATTCATGGGTGGCTAGAGAGAAACAAGGCCATATTATATTTGGGAGGAACACCACTGATGAAAGCTTGGAGCACGATTAAGGACATGCCCAGCGAAAAAGACTCTACAGGCTACATGCACTGTTTACATTCTACAAGCATCAATCGCTCAGTCCTCTGTTATCAAAAGTACTGATAGTCATTATTTTTGAGTCAAACAATCTACCCCCTAAGATATGTCAAGCATACACACTGTACAGTCTTTTGTATCTCCTATATTTATACAGGCTTTCCACCTGCATCACAAACTCCTATAGCAACCATTCATTCTGTCATTATGGAGGGTCAGTGTAGAATTAGCATCGACCATAAAATGTCTCGAAACAGCAACAAAGAAATGCACAGTCAATCCATTCAGAAAAAAATACAATAAAAATAAATGTATAGTCTGGTAGTTTCCAAATTTAGGTTAAACCGTTCTAATTGTTTAATTGAATCTTAGCTCTAAAACATTTCAAGTTGTTGTCAGTTAACCTGACAAATTATCATTTTGGTTTGTTAACCAGCAAGCTAACAAGCTAATTAATCAACTACCAGCTACTGCATTTTGACTTTATAATATATATAGGGGTAGTGATGGTGCAATGGATAAGACACCTGCCTTTGGTGTGAGAAACCGGGGGTTCAAACAACCACTGTGACCCATCCACCAACGTGTCCTTGAGCAAGACAGTTAGTTGCTCCAGAGGTGTGCGACCTCTGACATGTATAGCAATTGCAAGTTGCTTTGGATAAAAGCGTCTGCTAAATGAATAATAATGGATAGTATCGCTAGCAACAAGCTAATGTTTAGCAGAGCTGATATTATCTAAGCACAAAAATAAATCTACCTAATGTTATTAGCTTGTTGTTAACACATAGTAGCCAACCATATGAGGTCAGTATGCAGTTTTGACTGGTAGCTGAATGTTCAAAATAACTATTAATTTAGTCAAAATGATCAAAGGGCCACTCCATCAAGTGTACACTCCAAGTTAGCGGGAGCTCTACTCAGCTTGTGAAACAGCAATGTCTTCTGGCGCTCTGGAAAAAAATGAAATCACTTGAGTGATCTCGGGTTGGGCTTTGTGATTACAAAAAGCAGTATTCATTTAGGCATATTTTGCTGATTTGGTTGATGATTATGATTATGGCTTACATGTTACCAAACAGCTGCTTTTTTACACATCCAGCAGATATTGAGCAACTGTGAACCTGATGAATGTTCAGTAATCACTCTTCTTTTACCTCTGTTTTGCTTCTCCAATAACTCCCGAGGTAAATACCTGGGCTCTTTGGCAGCTAAATGTTCCACCATATTCATCAGCAAGTCACCAGCTTTGTTTGTTTGCTCCAGGTATTATGTAGTTGGTGCTGAGCAGATAGTAGTTTATCAGAGTTTATTTATAGGCCATGAAAACAAAAGAGTGTGGGTTTGCCACTACAAGCAACACCTTTCATATTACACATATTGGTTAGTGCAGTGCTTTAAGAGACAGCCTGCATTACACATGAAGTTTGAAAGATGTTGTCATTTACATGTTAGGAAGCTTATTGTGTTGCATTATGGGAAGTGTAGGGTCCAGGGTTTTTCAAGCGTGACCAACATTATAGAAACTAAAAGTCAGAATATCTTGGCATAGCTCTGTTTTGTTTTGACCACTCTAAAAGTATTAAATTACCAGAATGCCCCATTAACTGTATATTCCAGCTGTTTAAAGTCAAAACTCTCGTCATAAGTTTAGGAATGTAATCAGGTATTCTCCGTCATTGCTGTGCAAAAGCTAGGCAGTCAACCTCCAGAGCGCACATCACCTGAAAGCCCTGTTTTACTGATATGGTCTCAGTCAGTGCAAACATTAACCACAATTTCAGATGCTCTGACATGCACATAGAGAACCTGAAGAACGCCACTCACTCATCACATCTGTATGTTTTTCTATAAGAGTTATGAAAGGGAGTAGTGTTCCCTAAAGAAACACTTTACTCATCGAGTGCAGGTGCAGATGAGCTCAATGGCCTTTTACTAGAGAAATCAGGATCAGAATACTTTATGTTCTGAAATGCAACATATATAGCAACAGAAAAAACAAGTTAATCCCATTTCATGGGTGATTGAGGGTAATATTCAACAGCTCATATTAGAGACAGTTAGTATTTCCCATTATGTAAATGAAAATATTGTAAGAGAGAATTACCACTGATGTTTATGATGCATGCTTCATCTAGTGTCTTTGAAATAGCCCCTCGAGTACAACAACGTAAACCCTTCTATAAGAAAAGTAGTTCACTAATAATTTCCTTTGGTCGATAAGCACTCTAGTTTATGCCCTATGATTATTAACTATTTTAGTTCACACATGCATTTGAGCAACAAAGGCATTCTCTTATGCACACCTGTGTCACTTACCCTCTGCCTTTCAACAGATGTGGAGCAGCCCCAGTCAAGAGCTTTCTTTGCTCAACATCATTATTCTTGCTGTAAGGCAAGCTATTTACATTCAGCACGAGAAACCATAAAGGAAAAAAAAGCACGGTAATATACAAATGTTCACACACACACACACACACACACACACACAACTACACATACTTTGCAAAATGAAGGCAAGAAAATAAAGGCAGTGTGGGTCACAGAGTATACAGGGCATGGGGCCTTTAGGGAGCATGGCAAAATGAAAAGATCTGCTGTAAAATCCAGGACATCCATTGTCATGGCTGTTGTACTCACTTTTTGGTGGAGTAAGGGTTCCCTGATGTAGGCATGGAGTGGGAGAGTGAGTAGTCATTGGTGAAGTTCACTGGTCTCGGTGGCCTGGACAGGAAACAAATGTTTTTTAATCCAAAAGTGGCAAGGCTGTTTTCTTCTAATGTTAAAGAGACAGTAAATGCTCCTGCCCTTTTCTTTTGTCTTTCATTTTTTCAATCTTGCAGATTTCCTGCAATCTTATAATCTTTGAATTTCCATTTTGGTAGATGTCCTGCGGTACATATATCATAACATGGCAACGAAGTCAGATATGATTAGTTATGTAGGGTGTGGTAAACACTGAAAACATGTAATGAGTGGAGGAATGAATCCGTGAATCAACAAACACAGAAAGTGTTCAGAGAGAAATTAACAGTTGACTGTCAGTACACTAGGGAGGATGGGACTTGACAATACTGTATATGATTAGGACAATACAAAGGACTCCAATCTACAGTAACAAAAATGTACAAAGACACATTTTGTGACGTGTTAAATAATTAAAGTAAACTCACCACGTATCTCTGAGGAAACAAAAAAAGGAATGAAAATAATTTGTTACAATTAGCCCAGCAGTGCAGAGACTACATTAAATGCAGAGAGAAGACCCACAACAAACAAGACTTCTCAATAAATTTACCAAAGGACTATATTACTGGCAGATATTAGCTTACAACAGACATATCGGTATCTGGATATTTCAGCCAATAAGTAACAACAAGGTAAAAGAATAAAGTAAGAGGGGTGATTTTTGCAAAAGAGGTAACATTATGTCCCTAAACATGATTTAGCTTTTAATGAATAGCACCAGAGTGCTACAAAGTCTGTGTTTGTGTAGGCTTTTGTTTCATTATTTATAAAACAACACAAAACATCAGTCAAGCCAAGGAAAAGGCAGAAGCAGCGTTGCACATCAAAATCATTCCCAAGGCTATAATTAAGCCTCATTGATCAGTTGACCCAAGAGATTGACTGGAATCACTTCAGACTTCGAGGCAACAACAAGATAATTATCAGCTGAGGGAGGAAATCAAACATTTTGAATAATGACAAGAATGCAACTCTCTGACTGCAGGACTACAGCAACACACAAGAAAAAAGATGCAAGAAGATGAACTTACACAATGTGAGCTAGGTTGAGAGGTTTCTCAGGCATTTCAGGAAACATGGGGTGAAGAGGCTCTCTGCTGGACGCACAGCTCAGTGACTTACTGAGGGCATGGGATAACTTCTTAGCAGGGGATTTCTGGGAGAAGCACAGAAGTGAGGTGCCAATTGTGGGGACTTGAGGACACTTGTTTCTTTTCAAAACACATGGCATCATCACAGCAAGCTACATTTAGCATCCTCGCATTGTGGGGAAGCAGAACGGAAATAGCCACAATGACTGGTCAAATGGAGACACACCTTCCTTAGCCCGCCCCTCTCCTTCGCTTACCCATGATGTATACTCCTTCATTTGGTGCTGGTTGCTATGGGAACCGCTGGCATGCCCCCTCCAGAAGCAGTCCTGACAGAGCTGGTAATTATGACATTGCTGGCAGCGGTAGCGGAAGCCCATCATACTCTCAGTATGGCAGTAGGAGCACTCGACCGGGTGAAAGACTGCAGGGAGGAGAGGAGGGATCAGACGCACACACACACACACGCATGCAGATGGACAAACACATGCGCACCAACAGCTGTGATTGTAAACCCAGATATTTTGCACATTGCAAAGAGAAGAGGATTCATTTTAATTAATTTACAGACAGATGTGCTATTGAGTCTATTCTGATGACAACATTAATTTCATTTTAAACGAAAAATGCACAAAGCAGTACAACGGCAGCATGCTGGATATGTGTAAGGATGTGACAGTGTTTCTCTTGCTCACATGGAGGTGACTTGTGATAATGAGCGCATCACAAATACGCACAAGCACACACACTCATACATAGGGTGTCAGGTCCCTATGGGTCATCTTCACTGGAGTTGTGTGTATATGTCCACTTGGCTGATTGTGTGTGCGGTGACTCAAGATTATGATGCAAAGCTGAACTTTACATCCTCCCAGCCCTGGAATCGTTCAAGTTTTATAAATATTCTGTGTGGCGTCTTACCGTTCTCCACGTTGGCGAGCCGATGCATGAGCGGTAACCACACCAGACACTGAGGAGGCGGGTCTGACATCAACGTATCGAGGAATGTATTGAGGGAGACCTTTTTCTGTTGACGATCAGTGCAGAGGAGAGGTGAGATTCAACAGGAAAACTCCCCCACAACGTCAACGCTAAACACTTTGCTTGTATTGTACGCTGTGGTTAATTAAACTTCACCTGCTGTGCAAAGCATGTTCTTGCAGCTTGTTCGGTGTAACCAAAAGAAGGTCCCTCAAAAACCGCCATGGGTAATTTGAGAACCTCCCTCAGAAATTGGTCAAACTGCAAGTGCACCATTATTCCAGCAGAATCTGATATCTGAGAAAAAATGTCTGGGAACAATGCGGGGAGACATTATACAAATTAATGAAGCTAATTGTCAGTTGCCACCACAGTCGGCTAATTACAGCACTGCACAATACAATTATCCCACTTATTTGTGAAAACAAAGTAAAGTAAAGCAGTTATTAAAATCAATTGTTACAATACACCAGCATTACAGCCCTCCTTTTTTCACTTCACGAGCCACTGCGACTGCTCCCACGGTTTTTGTAGATTATGTAATAAACCCTATCCTTCAGATAATGAATAATGACTTCTCCCAGCCATGAAGAGCTGGGCCAGTACTGCTTCTTCTTTAGGAAGAAAAGGCTAAGCAGACAGAGATACAGGTAGTACAGACACTAATAATTTTGTATAATAAATTCCAAAGCAGTACATTACTTAGACTAGAAATTGCATGAACTTTACAAAGACAATTAGCTGATTTATAACGGGTAAAATGGTTGATTTTAATTTCATTTTTCATAATTTAAAGTAAAACAAGTATTTGTTGTGCTGCTTACATCTTAATTTATCGAGTATTTTCCCTCCACAGATGGTTGCTAGGGCCATCTTCACAACAAAGACAGATATCTTGCCATGGCCTTCCCTAAAAGGAGCAAATATATTTTACATTATGATCATTAATCATTTTAAACAGAGCGGTTGAGGCCAAAAATGCAATGAACTCTAAACTCTAAAAGGCAAAACCTTTCAAGGCAAACTTGAGTTATATTGTCTTAAAAACGGTTTAGCTTGGCTTTTAACATCTCTAATACTATACACTCTACACAAGCATGTTGTGATAGTATGAAAGCAAATAGTCCCACTTTGGCAGACACTTCACAGTCACATTTCACACTATGTTAGCTTGCGTCAAAACCTCAGACGTGAAAGTACACATTCAGCCGCCGACTGTCATATGACATGTTACTCACGGGTCATAGGCTGCCAGCAGGAAGTTGAGCAGCAGGCTGATGGACTGCTCCACGCTGATCTGGTGGGTGGTGGGCATGCGCTTGTTCAGCTGGTAAAAAATGGTGGACAGTACCACTTCTAGACGAGCCACAGAGAGGTCAGCGTTGAGGTCCATGGTGTTGATGCCATTCTCTCGGAAAGCCTCGATGACATTCCAAATGTCAACCAAATGCACTGGAAAGCAAACAGGAAAACTGTTCAAACATCTTGATAAGGAGGAGTATGAGCATACTGAGTGTAGTTAAACATACACTGCATCATACTCACAATTGCATCTCTTTTGCAGAAATCTGAGTTTGCATGCTGTTCTGTATGTCGATAATCGTATGGAATCCAAATCTTGAGCCCCTGAGGAAGAATGACTCGTTATTAAATAACATTGTAAATGTCAGTGATAGTTCATAGATAATGTGGAACCCTGGAGGGAGAGTGTATGGAGGCCCAAAGTATTCAATATCAGATAAATAAATGACACTATGAAATAAGTAATCATATGAATAAAAACAGACAATGTATATATTATGATATAGATTATTTTGTGAAATAATACCAAAATATGTACCAAATAAATATATTTTTTCATCCTGCTTTTTTTCACAATAAGAGAGTTAATTGTAGATCATTTTTATTTAATCTTCCATCGTCCTTTTTCAAAAGTGAAATATTTATAACATTTGGAATTCACTTTTTTCACAATGTGAAAATGTGATGTGTCTATTACTATGCGTACTGACTTTGACGCTTATTTTTGCCATTTTCTAGTGTGAACCCAAAGAATAGTTTATTAATTTATTATATTCATGATTTTGCAATTCCATGGTTGTATTATGTTTATATTGCATTTATTTATATAATTTTTAACTTCATAATGTCCTATTTATTTATCCCATACTGGACACTTTGGGTCTCCATGGCAGTGTTCCTTCACACTGAGTAATTTGTAAGACATCACGCTGGTGTCAGTGTTAAAATCAATCTGGTTGATTCTAGTGGGGACACTTGATCTTCATGATATTTGTTTTACATGAAAGTCACAGTGAAGAATTTTTATTGTCAGTGAGTAAAACAGTCCAGCATAGATCACGCTGAGCTGTAGCCCTGGGCACTTACTCATCTCGACAAACAGTTGCCTTCTATCTGCCATATTGTCACCGCTCCAACCGATGTCTTCAATCATTCTGATCAAGAAGAGAGAAAGTTATGTGAGATCCTGTATACCCCTACTTTTAACAGAAACAGTCCCAATTAAGGCATTTTCAATCAGTGAATATGCTCCTAATAAAGCTTTCAGCTTTATTCTGTTTAAAACAACTTCTAAACTGATCTAGAACAGAAGCATCACAAAACATTGGTTGCACTATTGTGTATAAATCACTCACTGGAATCACTCACCACTTGGTTAACATAGTAGACATACTGTAATAACATTATGTGCATTTGAAATGATGAAACTCATGTAAAAACATTCTTAACGTTTACATATTGAAACTCTCCCCTAGGAATACTTATGAACAGCTGTCATCAAGTAAACACTGTTATGTAATGTTTTACTAGCAATTACCAAAGCTAGATTAATAACCAGGCAAAGCGGGCAGCTGCAGGGGGCCTCAGACCTTCAATGTGCTCAAAGGCTCCAGGTTTTCTGTGTGGCAAATAACTGGTCACTAAGACCCGCCCACCTTAATTACTGTCGCAATGCCTTTCAAGCTTTCTATTCTCACTCAGCACATATGCATTTTACAGTGATAACGGTGGCAGATTTAAAACTTAACCTTCAAAGTTAAGCAGACAAATGCAGCTTCTTATTTTTCCTGGCAACCATAATTTTTTCAGGTTTATATGACAACTGTCATTAGCAGATTTTATCAGTTGTAGCCAGCAAGATTATTGAGATAACTTTACCTCCATGAGCTGCGAAAAGGGTTCCGTAAGCTGCAGTAGCAACGTTGGAGATACCAGCGAGAAACTAGATTTTGAAAGTGCCTGACCAAACAAATCCCACACCTTCCCTTTAGGCTTGCCTTCAAAGCCACTCCCCCAAAACAAATTTTTATATGCATTGAGTGAACAGGCAGGTACAGGTAGTTAGACAGACAAGTAGGCCTAGCCCAGCCAAGCCAACGAAATGGTTGGTCATTCTTATTACAGTCCCGTGACAGCCACAGATATTTTTCTCTCAGAGCATTTGATTGTTGTCACATGTCTCGTCAACATTTAAAAAGAATTTCAGCAAATGTAACAAAAATAAAATAAAATGCCTACCCGGGTTTAAAGGGTAATTCTGTATTTTTAAACCATGGTCCCATTTTCATACATTTTGGAGTTGAAATGACAAGTAGGTATAAGGTTTTGGAATCTGTGCAGTAGATGGCTTCAGCCGGCGGCTGTGAACCGGCTGCAATGACTGCAAGGAGTATTACTATATGCCCCTCTAAGCACTACTAAATGATAGGGGCCTTAGGAAAACACCTGCATTATTACCTAATCTTGGGGTCCTTCCTCAAATCTAGCTTGAAATAATAAGGCCTTCCTAAATAAACGTATGCTTAATTGAATGTATTATTAAATAAAAATGGGAGAGGGGGGGCAATTCATAGTTTTCAGGTGACGTCACATTCCAAGGAAAACAGGAGAGAGTCCAGTGTGAGCCGCTATGTTTGGTCTGTTGTTTTGCCCTTGAGGTCACCGCGCATGCCACGTGACTGTAAACTATGAATAGGGCCCCACAATTACTTTTAAATCAGGACCTCATGGTAGATAAATCTCAGCTTTGGTCATTAGACAATGACCTCACTTTTTTCGTAAAAAAAATAAAAAATAAAGTAGATTTGCAAATTGAATGTAGCACACTACAGTGCCCATCAGAAATGTGAGGGGGGGCACAGAAAAACTTAAGTAAGACAAGGACAAGACATTCAAAGGGGGCAGAGCAGCAGAGAGAGTGCTCAAACCATGCCTCACTGCACACTGTCCGAGGCAATCTAATACACCTAGTCATGTGGTTTGTTGCCATGGCAGCAAAGATCCCAGCCGCTCCGTTCGTAAAAACATAGTGCTAGTCACCCCTCCACACACACATACACACACTACACCTCCCACTGCAGTCAAGCAAAGTTTGTAGAGAAAAGTTTTTTTTCCCTGGTAAATATCTTTTTATGATATAATAACGCTCAGTGGGATGATAGTCGAGAGCACAGTGGCACTTCTTGGGCGAGTGACTTGAAACCACTTTTTCTGCAAGACAATCATTCAGGCATGGTATTTCAAATTACTTTGACAGTAATTGGTAGACCCAGATATTATGCTGCAGAGACCCATGGTGTGGAAATTAGAATTCACCTAGTGTTAAAAAGCAAACAACATCATGCTTCCCCCCTTGATATCCTTCTTCAGAATCCAGTCAGTTTAGGCAGTCATTTATGGAGCTTTATAAATCTTTGAAATCCAGTTTAAGAGGGAAATGATTAAGCTAATAAGTTAACCTGGAATTACAGAATCAAGTGTAGTATTACCTCACAGCATAGCAGTATGAGCTTCAACAGAAAAAATGGTAATAACTAATTATTAATGGTATATTATCATGACAAGACAGAACAGAACATCTACATAAGAATGAAATCATCTGCATTTTAGGGTTCATATTATAAAGCAATGTTGCAAATGACAAGCCTGCAAAAACACAAATAATAAATGGCTGTTTCATCATCTGTTTTAGATGTTCACACAGTCAGGCCGCCACTGACAGCCAGTGTCATCTTGAAAGTAATGGATATGCAAGCCCATTCATCACTTAAGCAGTGAGTGAATGAAAAAGTGTACATATATATACTATTTTATAGATTAACACTGATATCCTTTCCATATCACAAGCAAACACATCCTGAGTGCCAGCTATGTGACCTTCTGCGGTCTGTTTCCAGTCTCAGAAATAACTGAGATTGATACAATCTAATGCAAGTGCAGATATTAAAACCAGCACAGCCAATACAAATCGTGCGATGGTGAAGGGAGCAAGATGATCAACATACCTTTCATAAAGCACCATGGTCGTAATCCTTTCCCTTGCCTGAGCTCTGAGTTACTTCAAAGCCAAGTTCTCCTTCTAGAAACAATTGTCCACAACGCAAAGTTCTTTCTAACAAGGGAACATTACAACAGGGCTGACTGAATACATCTGAAATTAGAAACTGTCAGCTAGGATACAGCCTGTCCTGCCTCTATCTTTAACTACAAATAAGAAGGCTCCACATTCTTGTACAGCTTTACTGGCTCTCTAGTTGCAGACCCCAAACCTCATTCCTGGCATGTGCCCAGCCAACATTACTCTTTCTCTATGGCACTGTCACGCTGGCAGCATTAGAAAATAACTGCCCTTAAAAGAGCAAATCATTGTAAACCATTGACATTGCAGAGAGACTGGTGGGGCTAAGCACTGCCAAAAGCAAAGCAAGGGTCTCCCAGTAATGACTCACTCTATTTTTTTAATGCTGCATGGATTTCTGTTGGCCAAATATTCAATGACATGTCAGGCCAGCAACAAAAAGATATGCCTTATTAGTCAGTTATTTACATTGTTAGTCTATTTCTGTAGCAGCCCAGTAAAACATAGTGGACAGCGCTGTTAATGTATGCCCTCCTTAATGTACTTGGAACAGATTATCATGCAACATTTCCAAACACAAGCACTTACTTGAGTTACAGAGCAATCTGTGTCTGGCCAGCTTGTTACAGTACATCGCAGCTGTTACCACTGATTGGCCAGAGTTATTTTTACATCACGAGACTATAAACTACACTGGCATCCGAATCCCATCTCCTGACGGGAATAAATAAGCTGCACCGCCAACCTAAGGTTAATCAGTCAGCAAAGCCCGAGATGTTGTGTTTTAGTGTTGTAATTGCTGTTTAGGAGGTGAACCAGTTCTCTCTTCCTGTCTGGTACCAGCCAGTGATGTCTGCTGGAGGGCCCCTCTGCTCGCTGTCCCCCCGCTGATGATCACCATGGTTTCAGCTGCAAAAAGGCCAAAACTTTGGGACCACGATGTTAAAAGAGAGTGCGGCTACAAATTTATGGGTTGCTGCTGGTGCTGTGGTTTTGTTTACAACACTGTTTTGGAGTTATTTGCACAAACTACAACAGGTACATTTGTTGAAGTATCAAAAAAAGTAATGTAGAGCAAATGGATATAGAGGCTGCCTGTGCAAATGTGTGACATGATAGCCAGCGCAGAATTACATTTGCATTTCAATCACAAGCTTGAATAGAGATGTACTCCTGGGCACGTTGCTCTCTTGACATCAAGAAAACCATCAAAATTCCACCACAGCCATACTGGCCAAAGGTAAAAGGGCAGCGAGTAAGGCAACAGGCACCTTACTGTACATTCTCAGCTCAGCCATCACCTGTCACGCCAGATACACCTGTGTGCACGAGAGACAAAAGGTCTCATTGTTACAGAAATATCTGCATGCTTATACGAGTCCCTTCCTTATGTTTTTATCCTCGCACATCCTTGTTTTTTATCGCTGTAAGTTGATCGGGGAAACTCATTTCACCCAGAGTGACAAAGTAGGTTAAGGTCGCTCCTCCCGCTGCTGCTTGCCACCCTCCAGCAGCTGCAGCAGGCGCACTTGCACAAGACTTACCAGAATTTATTCCGAGGCATGTCATGCAACATCACTGTTTTCCATCCAGCAATCCGACAGCCGGTCGTGTCCTGTAGTGCGATCAGGGTTTCTTTGGTGTAGGTTGCTGCATCACCGCACGAAGCGGCCGTTCTTGTGCCGCTCTTCTGGAAAGCCTGTGCGGTGGAAATTTTCGGGTAGCGTACTGGCTGAGCAGTGCACGGGCAGCATTTGCCTCCAGTATGTGGCCTTCGCGGTGACGTAATGCGGAATCTCTTCGCTTGCGTCAGTGTGCTTCGGCTGCAAAATGTGTGTTTGATGCAAAAGGGGACAACGAGAGAAAAAAATAATAAACTACACTATATATTTTCGTGGAGGTGGTCATGCAAAGACGCGTTCATTCGCTGGTGTGAGCATTTTTGCAGCTTTAGTAAGATGACGTCATCGAGATTCACGAGGCTACATCTTTGTGAATGAAAACAGGGTTCATCAAAAATAATTACCCTATGCTACATTTCCGTAAAAAAAAACAAGATGTCTTCAAGATGTTTCTTGAACAGTCAATAGATCGGTAGACTATGTGATTGAACAATTTAGATTGTAAAACACTGAATATATTCCTAGATAATTTATTTTTTTAAGTTGTGACCCCAACATAATGCTAATAGTCCTAAATAAAGTAATCATAAGATTGACAATTAAAAAAGGAAAATGCATCTGTGTAGCCTATATTTTGCACATAAGCTAGTCTGCTTTGGAGTTTCTTTAGCTCTCCAACTCTTGTGTAACACTTGCTCTCAAGAATCGTCCAAATTATTTTCATTACTTTGTAGTAGGCCTCGTGGGGCAATTGCATAGCTATGGCTGCTGTGGCCTATATCTAAAAAAAAAAAAACAATTGCTGTCCAGGAGACTCCAAATAGAAATAATAAAAAATAATAATAAAGAATATAAACACATGTTATTTGGATTTTAAGTTTGGATAACTGTCTTTTGAGTAAAATATATCATAAATACATACATACATCTATCATTAGGCTACAGTAGGCTTATAGGATTTACAATTGTTATCTGTTAGGCCTAGTATGCATGTGTTAATAGTTCTAGGGGTGAAATCAGCTAAAATGGGCCAAATTAGTTTGGAGCTTTATAGAACTCAAATACTGATCTTGAATTGTTGCTACAACACTGGTTGACATGTAAAAAGTTTTATTTGCTCTGAGATTTCTATAGTGGGCGGGGCACTGCCTACATGAAGTACATCAGCGAAATCCTATGGAAAATGAGCTTGACATAGTAAATTTCACTCAACACTAATGATAAAGCAAATATAAGTAACATTACCAAAAAAGCAAAATGTTTATGAAAGATGTTTTGCCAGGCTCTTTCAAATAATATTATTTCAAATTTGTAAAGAAACTTAGACTTTTGTTAAAATAGTAATTTCAGGTAAGGAGGCAACATACTGATACTCAAACTCACAATTACAAAACAATTATACCTTTTCACTTTTTTAAAACAAATAAATATATAAGAGACCCATGCCAATGTATAAAAAATATCTCATGCAGATCTTATTTGGTAGTCCTATTAGTCATTTACCAAAAAGTGGCCCATCTTAGCTGACTTAACCCATAACGAGGCCTACACACGCCAGAAGACCTTTTATTTCCTAAAATGATCTCAATAAAAGAGTCATAGTCTTTTACTCCCGTCTCGATTTTATTCTATTCCTTAAATGTGCCTAACTTCTCGTAATACGAGTAGGAAACACCCCTCATTGTTGCTAAAAGAAAGCACAAACCTTCATTGATGCTCTTGAACGCAACTCACTCTCTCCAAGCGCAGCCCCTTGTTGCTAAGCGACCTCCGCCTAAGATTGACAGCAACTTTAGTTGCTTCATTTGGAGGAAACTTTAATGAAAGGCAACTTTTTCACGGGACCGCTGCAGCGTTGTCACCCAGAAGAACAAAACACACTACTAGGTAACGCTAGCTAACTGACAGCTGGCAACAAGAGGTGTGTTGAGATAAGTAAGTTGAGCCATTTTTCGCTTTCACTTTCTGCCATGACAACGCCCCCCCCTGCTCATTAATTTCTCATTAGCTAAGTTAATTAACCGATAACTTAACGTTAGCTAAAAGGGCGACACCAAGGTATCAGTTGCAACGTTAGCTAACGTTAACTTTGTCTGAAAGATTAACAGATGTTAAACCTATACTATCTAATGTATAAATAAAGTAAGTTAGTTAATAAACGGTGGCACTTTTTCTCTCGAAATGTGCAGGTTGATGTTGAACGTAAACGCCTCTAACGTTACGTTTCCACAGGACGGTGGAGATTAAACGGGTGGTATTTTCCTAATCCTGTCGGGCAAGTTTCAGCAATGCCAGACGTTGAACCGCTCAGATTCCCATCGAGGGAAGGACGACCTAGTCATCAAGGTGAGAAGAGTTAACAAGGTGTTAACTGACTTAATACTTTTGTAACTGTTTTTTTTTTTTTTTGCATTTGCAATTACAGTAAAAGGATGATGCTGCAGTTATACTGTATCTCCCACGAGGAACTTTTTTCTAGACGTAAAATAAGGTCTAAACAGATGTAAAATAAACAGACATAAAATTTGATTGAGAAACTCTGTTACAACAGATGGATGCTCAAACTAAAAAGTAACTCTAAACAAATATGGACCAAAGAAACTGAGCAGTGTGGTCAGTGGTCACACAGTCTACATTTATAACATGAATATGATGACAAAATTTTGTCTGGAGACACCTGTCCCCAAGCACAGCAAGAAAGCTGGGCACACACACTCACAAAGTCCAGCCTGTGGACTGTAATCTGTTGTCCAGTCAGTGCTTGAGCTGGACTGCACTTCAGAAATGATATGAAGGTGGTGAATATGTGAATACATTTAGATGATAATTATAATTAAATATCTAATATCATTAGCGAAATGGCAGGTGAAAGCCCCTCACATGGGCCTGGTCTGTGGCTATAATACACCCTGCCAGGATATTAGAGCTTATTCAGCCTGCTGATGACATATTGCCTTATCACGTTCCTACCCCACTTGGTTCTTTCACTGTGTATTATTCATCTAAACTGCTCAGCAACAGATGGCCTTCATTTCTGGTCTCCACACAGTTTTTCCCTGACTGTTCTTTTATTCGTCTGAGTCAGCTCACACACTAGCCATTCTCCTAATTAATGGACCTTCATGGCAAGATAACTGTTATCACAGGTGGGAAAGGTTCAATAATCACAAACACTTTGTGACCTGCTCATTTCATACTGATTAGAGTAGGCTACTTGTTTGTCTACAGGTCCTTGACAATTTTGGTTGTATCTCAACTAGGTGGCCATTTACCTGGGGATCAAAAACTGTAATGAAGGGGATCTCTCAACTGCCCCAAACATTATGATCCTGTCCTTAAAAAGGTGCCAGGCAACACCAGGTGTGATCATGATAGCAGTGTGAAGACATGTATAATCACCTGGTGGAGCACATCACCCTTCCACTTGTGACAACTGAAGATAATGTTGTGCAAATGCATGGTTCTTCCTTTCAGTGGCATACATACATTCATGAATCTGTTGGGTGGATTCTTTATCCAGGGCTGGTCCTCAACCTGCAAAGTTTAGTGAAACTGATAGATTGTTTGGGCACAGAGAAGAACAATCCACCCATAGTCCTCCATCTTTTAAATCCAACGACAGCAGAATGTTGGCCAGTTAAGTAAGATAATCAAACATTTTATTAATTAAATTCAATTGATTAAAATGCATTGTTCTCTCTCCCCCTCTATTCTAGGCCTTGCAGTGAAATGAAAACATTACATCTATCTTAAATGGCAGCTTACATATAAAGCAGAGGATTGAGAATTCATAATATAGTGTGCATATCTGTACAGTTTTGTCGATATTACAAAACTGATGCGAGTTTCACTGTATGTTGTGTGCTGTGTACAAGACTTTCTAAATGGCAGCCTACTAGTGAACAGAAATACTGGTGGTCCTCTCCACCTTTTTAAAAAAAATCTATTTACTGTATTACAAACTACATTTTATGTAATTTCTGTGAGGGATCATCTCAGAGACACTACATAGGGCACAAGAACCAAGGTTTCAGTTCCACATATGCAGACATGAACTGTGACAGATTTTGTTCCAAACCTACCACATGACTGTACATATTATTTGTATTCTGATACCAACTGTTACACTTAGTCTAGGCTTATTAAATGAATTACTCAGAGACTGGATTAAAAGTTGTGTATGGTAGAATTCACACACTGTACATTAAAACATTAAACAGCACAGGGAACTTTTTGCCACTAACATAAATTTTTCTCTTAAATTTGCCCAAAGGTTACTTTTACTCGTGAATGAGCATGACATGTCTCTGTACGATAATATAGACCAAAAACTCCCAACAGTCATTTTTCTCAGATGTTCATGTAATCCTCACTACTGGTGGGGTTTTTTTGCACCTTTTGTCAGCCAGATGGCGTCCTTTCACCACAAAGAATTGTGCCCTTGGGTTTGTCTTGAGATGCTCAAATTAGTTGTCTCTGCTCTCCCACTGATGCTTTCAATATATTGCAGTCTATGCAAGCAAAATCAGAGAGAAAGTAAAGAATCACAGCCAAATACATTTTTGTAATTACTCTTCAAAATAAATTTGATGAAGTAGAACAATTGTTTGTTCCAACAAAAGTCTGTTGTTTGCTAAGTTCTTTCATTGAGTGATGGTTCGTCAGTGTGTTTTTATAAAATATTTTTGTGCCATTGTGTGAATGAAAAGCTTTAGATAGGTTTGGTCTTTCATTGCTTCTCTGTTTGTGTTTGTCAGAAATTGACATTTTAAGTTGGATTTACAGATCTCAATATTCTGTGTTTCTCAAGATCAAGCAGATCTTCAAGCTGTCTGTTCTGGAAGACGTCGCACTTGTGTTTTGCTCAACAGTCCCTCACCATGTGTCGACAATGCTATTTACCATATCCAAGAGCTGAAGATGACAGTGGAAAATTGGTGTCAACAGGTAAACTGATGTCAGATGTGATCAAACCTGTGAGAGATTGAAGGACAAATATCAGATAGGAGTATAAATCAAGTATTTTTTTCATTTTGTTTTTGCACCAGTCGGGAAAATATGAGCCACCAGTCGATCAGGACAAGCACCAATACAGCAACATTTTAAGGTGCAGTCCCCTTTTGTTTTCATTTCCTATTTCTTTTTGTCATATTCAGTAGGACGTAAAACCATGACATGTGTTTAACTGCTTTTTGACAGATTTCATTCCAGCGACTTAGATACTGAATCAGTGACGTCCACGGAGTTGTTTGTCGAAGGCGTTGGAATTAGTGCAAGAGGTGAATTATTATTTTTCAAAAAATACCATACCAAGTCATTTCTAAAATATTTTGTCTTGATTTTTGTTGAGCAAAATAAGAGCAAACACTGTCAATAATGCACATCCAGATAAAAGCAACACATGAACATGTCAAGGGTGCACTTCCACTTGGAAAAGTTTAGTTGCTGTGTCACTGCATTAGTGGCTCGTCAATTTGTCACTCACTGAGTCCCATTTACTGGTTCACATCTTTTCTCTACATAATAACTGATTGGATACTATCTCGGTATTCACTTCTGCTAATACAATACCATGGATCAAGTTTATGTTTAACTGCACTCTGTAGTTGGTCAGCATAGCTTTACAAAAATTTGTTTACATGTTTGATGATACAGTACAATACATTGTGCCAACCTTGTAAAGTTTTTCATCCTCTAGAAAGTTGCCCATTATCGCCACTAGTGAAGAAAATAAATGATGTCCTCGGAGAGGTTGTGTATCTGATTGAGCGGCTGGAGGCTGATCGGCAGTATGTGGAGGAAGCACTCCAAAAAGAGAAGAGAAGAAAAAGATTTTTGGAGAACAAAGTTGACAGCATCTCACTGTGGAAGCAACAAGAGCACTCTTTTGTAGTCCAAAAAGGTCTTTCCTCATAGACATTTGTGTTTTGGGATGTTCTCCAAAACAATGAATAAACTTTCTAATTCATTTTTGAGTATTGCTTTTTTTCCTAGAGCACGAGGCTTGCATTAGAGACATCACTGAACTGAAGTGGCAGCTAAAATTGGAAAGAGAGAAACTTGACCAAGCCCAGGAGAAACTGTCACAGACTGAGATGTTGAACCAGCACTTACATGAGGACATCAGCTTTGCCAAAAAACAAGTTCCCATAGTGAAAGAAAACCTGGACCTCCAGAGAGGAATCATAAATCAAATCAACACTGCACAAGCTGAGGTAACCTCTAATTTGATTTATTCTTGTTTTGAAAACAATTTCTATGTTTATATTTACAGGTGCTATACTATACAGTGCTAAACCACATTCTGGGGTGTTTTATACATTAGCAAGTAACCACAATAAAATAAACTTATCAAATTATTATTGGTTATTATTTTAGTTTCTGATTAGTTTCTCCCTCGCACACTAGCTCTCTCTCACTCACCCATTCTCTCTTTTTTTAACTCTTAAGTATCATGGCACAAGGATTGCAATGTTTATTGGTCTGTTGGTCCAGTGTCCATCAACACTTTGGTCTAAAGTAAAATCATTCAGTTTTAACAATTGACTGGATTGCCATGACATTTGGTACAGACATTTATGGTCTCCAGAGGATGAATCCTTATAACTTGGATAATTCCCTGAGTTTTCATTTAGTTTTCCTACTTGTTAATTTCTTTAGTGCAAGTCAGGATACTTTGATTTTAATGCCTACATGCAAATATACAGCATGAAAGTGCACTAGAAGATTGATGGATAAAAGAAAGAGGGTTCAACATGCAATAGGTCAACTTCAACTCAAAACCACTGCAGCTTTGTGGACTGACTCAGTATTAGAGGAAATGAAATGTTTGTATAGTATTTAGTTTCAACAGGGCATGATTGCATAAGAGGATAAAGTTTTGTCTTTAATATCAGTACCTGTCTGGGGAAAATAATAACCCCATGCCCCCCTTCTTTTTTAAGGCTTATGAAGTACATTCAAAAACACGAAGTCATCTCATACTGGTTCAGAGGGAGTTAAAAGATATGGCGCTGGACAGAGACAATGAAAAGATGTCAATGGATGCTGTACAGATGGGGATGAAGAATAAGCTTGCTATCAGGTTGTGAGTATCCATCCGGACAGTAGTAAAAACACCTTCAAATTAGAACAAAACAGTTTGATAGCTTTCATCAATTGCGAGAACAATGACTAGTTAAATCAGTTGTTAATGTCAACATGTGTAGTACTGAGAGTTTGCACAATGTATACAATCAATATATTTGGCAACTTTTACTTTCAAGTGGTGCGGCAGTTGTAGCTTCAGTCCTTCTGTTTTGTGGTTCCTAAGATGTATTAATCTCTCTTGCATCATTTCTGCTAAATAACCACATAATCATTAAACATATTGTTATTCTATTTAATGTCACAATGGGTTATGCAGCACAATGGGAAATTAACCCAAAAGCAGTCAGACAGGCAGACTGTTGCAGTTCAATGATTCATTGTATGTGAACGAGCTTACAGGCAGGTGTTGGTGGCATGTAGGTTCTGGTTCTGTGTGACAAGTTGACAGGCAGGCAGATTCAGGTCCAGGTAAAACAGCAGCATCAGAGTCTGTGCAGAGTCTTGCTTCGTTTTGTCGGGGCAGAACTCAGCCCAGGTGTTCAGTTGGGTGCAGTTGGGTGTGGCAGTCAGGTGATGGGGAAAGAAGGGTGATGTCCGAGGGCATCTAGTGGACAGCTTAAGGATGGCAGGTTGGGGGAATTGGGGCTAGAGACCGGGAGAGAGAGCAATGCAGAGGGCCGGAGATGAGAGTGTGAGTGAAGACTGAGAAGCAAACTGGGACATTAAAGGCATTTTCATATGTAGGATTATGCTATGTCCATAGAAAACACTTGTTTCTGTCTGTCTGGCAGGCTTCTGTAAAAATCATATAACAGGACACCTCAAACAAAGATATGATCAACAACTGCTTTAAATCAGTGTTCAAGGTATATTAAACTTCACGTTAGCTTGATGTTGCATTACCAGATAACTCACTCTCACTGTAACAGACCTAATCATTTAACCTGACTACAAACAAACTTTGAAACATTTTTTAATACAGGTGTCCTGACATACAAAAAATAATTATGATGATTTTAATGTTAATGTTTTAAATTGGTTCTTTGGTGCTGACAAAGACAAGACCAGGTCATGTTTCATCAACCTCATTAACTCAAAAATAACTCCTAATAATGTTGTAAAAAATCAATAACTTAGTTAGGTTTAGTCCTGCTTTGTAAAAAATAACTTTCCTTATCTAAGGGTACATTTTCCTATTCAGTTTCACAGTTATCATGCTGTCTTGTGGATGATTTTCTTGCAATATAATGGGGATCATGAGTTGCTTGGTTTGTGATACCATCAATACCACATGAAACATATTGTGATGTCATTGTGTGATGAGTTCCTGTTATTCCCAACCCTAAGTGTGCAAACCGCTTGTAATTCACTAACTTAATAAGAAAACTTTTTTTTCCTTCAGGGAAGATTTAAACCAGTTGAAGAAGCTGGAGAAAGGAGTTTGTGCTGAAATAAAGAATGCTGAAAAGACAGTTGCTCTTACTGAAGAAAAGTGCGCAGCCACAACAAAACGTATCTCTGAAATGATGGAGCTTGAGAAAACTGAAAGAAACTGGGTAACTGATATTGTCCACATTTTAAGGCTTAAAGATAAAAATGTAGCTTTCGACAGTTTACAAAAATAGTGTAATTCATGCCCCCCCTTCCCTTTTCCATTTTTCCTTTTTTTTAATTTTAAATTTTTTTTAAATTTTTTTTACAGATTTTGCAATTGAAATTTCAAATTGAAGATGAAATGCGAAAGAACAATACATTAAAAGAGAAACTACTTGCACTGCAAGAAGACATTGAGAAAACTGTAAGTATTGTATAAAGTTAAAATGTCTTTATAATGTTTGTGCTGCTTTGGCTACTACTACTGTCTTGATAGTTAATTTGGTAGAGCATAGACCATAACTGACAATGACTGGACTCTCACTGGACTTATGCATGCTAATGTTTGAATCCATGGCACTGTAAGGTGTTTAAGATAAGTGCATCGACTCCGTGGCACAGTGTATGTTTTGTTATCCACAGAGACTTAACGGGGAAGCAGAGGTTTCCTGCATAGAAGAGCAGCTCTGTTCCAAACGTAATGCTTTTTTAGCTCTTCGCAAAGAAAACATGGAGTATGAACAGAATATAGAAGACTACAAGATAAAACTTTCTGAGAGGTACAGTGTCAAAGCCAAAACCGTGGGGAAACATACAGCATCCCATATTTGGTATAACTATATGCTGTAGTACGCTACTTATGCGTGTTTACCATAACTTTTCTGTGTGATTTCTACTAGCAAAAAAGCAGTGAAGCTGATGCATGAAGAGAGGAAGCAGATGCTCCAGAAAATCATTGACAATGACGAGCAGTGGGAAAAGGCCAAGGAGGAAGTGACCGAAGTTGTAGCCCAGCACAGTGTCACCCAGACTAAACTGGAGGAGCAGGAACAGCTCACCTTCATGGAAGAACAGAGGGCCAGGGTCAGTGACAACATATGTACATGTTCCATGTCTATTGCATGGGTCACAGTTTGTAAGGAAAATGGGAGATACCAAATGCTTTCTCCATTGTTATTCACAGCTCTTTCTGTCCTCTACAGAAAGAGATTGAAGACCTGAAGAAAGATCTGACAGGTCAGATCACTGCCCTGGAACTACTAAAGGTATAATTCATGAGGCGCTTCAGAGTCTTCACTCTGACCAACCACATTTTACTCAGTCAAAGTGGTAGAGAAATGTAATTACAAAACTGGTGCATACAAAGTAGATTTAAATTGAAATCTTAAAAATATGTCACTGTATGTTTCTGTGGAACACTTTGATTTTATAACTATGTTGGGAGAGGCATGAAGAGGTCAATAGAAATTTAAAATTTAAACATTATACATTTCATAAAGGTACCTTTAAATTCCTGTTTTTAACCCCCGTACATATGTTAAATGTTCAGGATAATGACATCCTGCCTTCTATTTTATTTTGCATCAGGGTCAGTGTGCAAATATAAACGAAGAGTTGTATCGACAGCAAAGGAGCTCAGAGATAACTAACCAAAAACTTCATAAAGAATTTGAAGATGCATCCTCAGCAACAAAAGCTCTGGAGACCAAAATTGAGGTACTTAAATATAATTTTTACATAAAAGAGCAACACTATATTAAATGTTTAAATCAACCGCATTAGTGGCTAATCTTTGCTTTGTGTAGAAAATCAAGAAAATGGCAGAACATTTGGAAAAGATTCAGTCTGAACACAGGAACACATTAGTCAACTTTGAGAAGGAGAAAAAACTAAAGTCTGACAAGCTGAAAGCTGCTCAGGTAAGAAAAGAGGGGTTGCATAAAGTAATTCTTCTTGAGTCAAAGAACAGTTGCTAAGTCAGGTTTACTCTGTGAAGCTCATTGAGCATGAAGCTAATCACAGCTATTTATCATATCATTTCTTTGTTGAACAAAATAATATCTTGCTCTAAGCACTTTAAACATGAATGCTATTTGTCTATAGGATTTACACAGTGCCATTATAAAGAGACATGACAACACCCTGGGCAGGATCAGTGACCTTACGAAGAAGAGTGAAGAATACCGAGATGCTTCAGATAAAATGGAAAAGATAGTTGAAAACATGCCAGAATTCATAGCAGAGCTTCAGTAAGTTAGTTACACACAAGAAACGCTCAATATAATAGTAGTATAATAAGGAATGGGACATTATTGTTGGAGAATACTCAACCTTTTCTTCAATATCAGCCTTTAAACTTTAAAATTAAATTAATAATCAAAATATACTTTTATGCATTTTCCCCAATGTTTAGTTTTCTTTGATTATATACAGGTGTTTAATATATAATATAATAAAAATATTATATATTTAATATCAAACTTTGTTTTCTAAAAGTTGAGAATTTCATGAATAAATGCTTTACTTTGAGTATAGATTTTTTTTTCTACCTGCTCCACTGTTTTTATGATATTCAAAAATGATTATGGAAAAATAATATTTAAGTTTTTGATTTCTCCTTGCAGAAGTGTTTTTGATGTGGTGGAATTCAAAAACAAATCAGCTGCTCTCATAATGAGCACCTTGCAGTCTGATATTAATAACTGCCAACAACGAACACAGCGATCCATGCAGACACACACTGCTCATTTTGCAGCAAGAAAAAAACAAATGGAAGACACCAAGGTAACAAAATGTTGTGCTGTATAACTCTCTGTAAATACATGATTTTTTTTTCTTTCAAATACGGTGCTATCAGAGACAAGCTGTAAAAAAACATCTCATTGTTTATTTGTTTGTGGATTAGTGTCAGCACATTGCTTGTCACAATACTTCCCTTAAGATGCAGGGAAAGGAGCTGTGTGCAATTAAAATTACAAGCCATGGTCAATCTTGTTTAAGTGCTTTTCCCACAAATGACAACTATAACTGTTGTTACAGTCTTTTGTCTGGACGAATTTGATGATGCGTGTCGTGGTGAGATGCGGTGTCTGTTTTGTTACCTGTAGGCCAACATTTTCAATAGCTACAGTATTTCAATGTAAGCATAGAGTTAACGGTATCAAATAAGCATATTATCTTTTTTTTTACATGAGCATCAAGAATAGGCTCTTGTAAAAACATGAGCATACTGTGCACAAAATGGCATGTATTTGAACTCTGCTTTGTAAGAGAAACCCCTATTTATTGTAAGGTTTTCATCTGCAGGATTATCAGCCCCAGCCAGAGCGTCTTTGCTGATGGGGGTTTCACATGGCTTATCTAATGTGAAATCGCCATGTGGTATATAGTTTCATTAAACGGTGATCAAGAATGCATTAGTTCAAAACAAGAAAAGGCAATGGAGCTTAAGCTGCCATGCATCCAAGTGCAGCAACTTTAAAGAAGTTGTTGGCGTGAGACAATTTAAGAATTAGAAGTCTTCCTCATAGACACAACTCCCATTAGCCAGATAAAAGTTAGCCATGCAAAAAAGGGTTTAGTCTTTTCACTTGACGAAATAAGATGATATAACAACAATACTCCTCACCAAATAAAAAGATCAGAGCGAGTGTGAGGTTCTAAGGAAATTGGTCACTTTAATCATTGAGGCCAATATAAAGCACACATAATGTCTGCATTAGCATAACATAATAAGCAGAGTGTGCATTCAGAAATCACAGTGCATGAAGCAGAAGTTAGACACTTTCAAATATTCTTATATTTCTTCTAAAAATGCTGACCCCATACTATACTATTATAAGCTCCTGTAGGTAGCAGCTCCTCTTTGCTATAAAAGCTGATAGAGGTCAATATAACTAAAAGCCTGATGGGAATTAGTATGTTGCTGTATTAAATACAACTTGCAGATGGTTACTTTTAAAGATACAAATACAGGGTATAACAAGGTGAAATAGGTTGTCTGGTAATTCCGTGGTCATCTCTATTCAAGCCGTACATATCTGAAAGTAGTTTGTCTTTCATATATGAACCTATCTTTTGATTTGATCAGGGCTTGTCGTTTGGCGAGCACAAAGTAAACAATGCAAACTGCCGACGCTATCAGTTTCTTATGGGCGATGAAGTGTAATTTGTTCCATTTACACTTCACAACAGCATCAGATGGGCTTTGTCAGTGCTGCATGGAGTAATTAAACCTGAAATCAATAGCAGGCATTTGTCATGTTTACAGCCCCTCTTTCTGCTGGGTTAAACTCATCACTTTAGTGCTGTTCTGTTTTACTGCAGAGACACACTTCATTATGTCTGCAGGTAGACTTCACCAGCCACATATCCAGTACTTGGGAAACATAGCTCAAATGAAAAGAGGACATGCAGAGAGACACATACTCACTGTGATTTATTTGCTTGATTTCCCAGAAAAGTGTACATAGTTGTATGCCTGCTATTGATGTTGCCTTAATTAACAGGACAAATACAGAAAGCATGTGTTGTGTTGAATGCACACATAACAGGTCAGCGGTACAACTGAAGCATCCTCTAAACTGTATATCTCCAATTCCCTTCACCATCGTTTATCGGGTATCTGTATTTTACATCAGTGCTGAACTTAATTCTGCCTTGAACATGTGTTCTTGTGCCAGTGTAGTTGTGATTTAATACAAACATAATGATAAAATGGTCGTCATGCTAACACAAATCCATTTGTGTTAGCTGATTGCTAGTATGGCAGTATACTAGTTAGTATAATGGTATAGTAAAATTAACATTTAAGTGTGAGAGGTCCCTGGTTCCTATCCCTATAAGTTTTTTAAGTATATTAGTGACAATTGGGGATACACCAGTCTTTGAGAGATGTGTTTACCTGTATGTAAAAGAGTCTCATAACTTTAGGAAAAAGAGAAATCTGGTATCGGATCAGTATTTTTTGAATTGATGTATCAGAATCAGAGTGTGAGACAAAAAGTTGGAACAGTGCATCACCAGTGGACTGTAGTGTAGGGTATGTCACAAGTACAGCATTGATCTGCAGCTGAACTTGCACCTGCTTGTGTCTTAGTGATTATTTAATAGCTACTGTAAATTATTATTATTATTATAACATATTATTTACCTTAACTGTTTTACCTAAACCTTTTTGTTTTCATGTGTGTAGGAAGCACTAAAAATTGCGCTGAAGGAGAACAAACAGCTGGCAGATGAGTACAAAGGTCTTAAGAAGATCCTCATGGAGGCCAAACAGGAAACAGTGTCCGCAATGAGCGAGAAAAACCACACACATAAATCTTTTCATTATTACACACAGGTATGGTTTATATAAACTTTTGTTATATTTACTATCTCTCACCCCCTCTCTTTTTAATTTTGTTTTATGACTTAGGATTTCTGCTTTTGTTATCTAATGTTCTGTTCCCTCATGCTATTCTTCTTTGCACTAGATTGCTCTTCTTTGCATGGGCAGTAATTTTTAAGGTTTTAGTTTGGCAACCAGTGAGGAGGTTACTGCGGCAATCTAATAATGATGAGATAACTTGAGTGGAGGAGGATGATGGATGTGACATAATGTAATGATAGCTATGTAGTTTTGCCACGAAGGGGAGTAAAGAGAGAGGTTGATGGCACATGTAAATACTATACCTTCTACATTTTCTTGATTATAGTTTTTGTAAGGTGGTCAGAGGTGAAACGTTTTACACACACACACACACACACACACACACACACACACACACACACACACACACACAGGTTAGGATCAGACAATGAACGAACCTTCAGTGCTAAAATAGCACCAGAGGTCTTGACTAGTTGAGGGAGACAACTCAGCAGCCTTTTACTGTGTAATCTTTATAGTTTTTGACACTATTTAACTGGAATAGAATTACACATGACAACCATAACACCAGGAAGAAGCCACACTGTTCCTGCAATGAAAAACACATATTATTTGTTCCAAAAATGACTAATACCTTTACTTGAGCAATTCCTCATCTAACTGCATGAATGTTATCAAGTGAAAAATGCATGCAAAAATAAAATCCTGTGGACAGGATTTTCCACGCTCATGATCAAAGCCTGATTTTCTTTTACTCCGGATTCAGCCTTCACCATTTTTGTTTGTTTCAACTCCACACTTCTATAACAGCAGCCTCTCGGCTAGTGTTTTATGCCTGAATTTAGTTTTTATAACAAGCTTATAATCAACAGTGTTTATGAAATTTAGATGCAGGCCTATCGCATTTAATCTGTATTAAACAGGGACATTCAAGCACCCTTCTTTCCTGTTCCAAATGTACAATTATCCTTATAATGTGTGCATTTTATGTCCCAGTTAGTACATATATTACACAATGTGATTGCCCTTAATTGATTTGTTTGTAACTGGAGGCAACAAGGTAAATGCATTCAACATGGTCAGGATCATTTGAGAGATAACATTACTGTCATTTGTGTGTTTGGAGAGCCAATAATCTCTTTATATTATATTTAACTGAGGGACACAATGAAAACCATCTCTTAAGTATTCTTATATATAAATATAATCCTGACAGCAGGCATCCCTGATGTAGAGTTTAAGTGACAAGTTTAAAACATTCCTTATCCCCCTTTCAGGACGACTACTGTACAGCACATAATGCCTTAAATATAAACTGGCATGAAGTACAGCAAGATTTCTGCTATTATAAATACATTTTCTTGCACCATACAAAAGGCATCTAAAACATGGAAACCTGAAACATCTAAAAGAAGTGATTGGGAGTTAGCTCATAATTGCGATTTTAACTTTTCAACACAACCCATAGTTGACAATAACATGCAGGTTAAAGTTCTACCTTTTAAAGCTGTAATTATTAACTCTCCAAATGTTGTCATGTTGAAATACAGCTAAGTAGGTGGGGGCATCTAGTGTTACTCTTGTTTCTTTGAATTGAGTGAAGTGTTTTCTAACCACATGAATGTTAGTGGCGGAATGTAACATGTAGTACTGTACTTAAAAATAGAGGTAGGTGTATTATATTTTTGTATTCCTATTTTCTACTTTATACTTACTCTCCAGTAAAATATTATACTTTTTACTCCACTACATTTATTTGACAGCTTTAGTTACTAGTTACTGTACAGATAAATATTTTGCACACAAAATATATGATAAGCTTATAAAATATGATGTGCTGTTATAGAACAAACTACCCAACAATATATAAAATAGTTCATATTGGCTCCACCTTAACCACCTGCAACATTAAAATGGCACATGTTAATGTCTCAGTAATAATTCAATAATAAAATAGTATACACTTTCTGGTCATTATTTTTCTGCAGAATGAGTACTTTAAATTTGGATACTTTTTGCTAACAATACTTTAGTACTTTTACTCGAGTGACATTTTCAGTGCAGGGCCTTTACTTGTAATGGATTTCCTGTATTGCAGTATTATTACTTTTACTTAAGTAAAGAATGTCAAAACTTTGTCCACCGCTGATATTAATGTATTATTAATGCTATATTTATTACCATTGTCATCCAGAATAGGAACGACCCAACAACCATAATCAACATGTCTTAACAGCAAAGTTTGGAGCTCTTTGTAAATGTGCTAGTTTCAGTGTTTTTGCCATACTCCAACATAACAGATGCAATATAACATGCTGTTCATTACTTTAAATAAATTGCAGATTGCAGCTTTAATATACTTGCAATTCAGATATGGATAATTGCATATTGCATTATGTGGCATATTTTGTGGTATACAAAGGCTTTGTATGTTTGTAGTGGAAGAAGTATGTTCTATTTATTAATGGTCCAACAAAGACACACTTCAGCTACTTTATCTAATATTAGAGATGGTAGTTTTTCCTTTAAAAGAGAACAAGTAGGAAAGGTATATGTTTTTACATCAAAATTCAACAAGTATAAATACATTCGAGCAAATTTCTCATTTGCAAATTAAAAAAATGCATGATTAATTAGCATCTGATAGCACTTGCCAGTATGTGTCTCTTTTAAAAATCCTCTTGATTCTACTGTACATGTAAGCATTGCTTTGTTTATGTGGAGGCTTTCGGCACTTGGGTTTTAACAGGGTACACCATAAAGAGCATTCTTGTTATTGTCTTTCCTTCAGGAGCTGATGACTGAGCTAATTCGCTTTAGTTTTCAATGCACTGGGGAACACATTGCCAAGCAATGATAAGCTTTGTAGGAAGAGTAGAGAGATGGAGGGGGGAGAAAAGCAATGGCATCTATCAGAATTTAAACCTCTTTGCTTGAAACTGTGTTCAAATAATAAAGCAAGCAGCATGTCTTTCCAAGAGACTAGGAATAATTTCTGGTTTCAGTGGGGGGTTCATGACTCTGTGTGTATGTGTAAAATATGTCTTGAGGGGATTGGTATAAAGTTAAACTGGGTGAAGTAGAAATATTTTACTCATCAGCTTTGCAGTCACAGAGTTTGCCTCGGCTAGAACAAAACTGCTGAAGCATTTAGAGAAAATTAACCCCCCATCCTGGCAGCCAGATGTGACTGGATTCTGATGAGTGCACACGAGTGGGCAGAGAAACCAAGAGACTGTGAAATTCCTGTCAGGCCCGTGTACTGCAGAATGGGCTATTGACTGCTTTCTCTATTCCCCTCCATCATTCTTCTTGAACACTGCCATTAATTTCCTCTCCTGCCTTACCAATTCCTTTTCTCTGCCTTCTCTCCCCCCAGCTCTCTTTGTTGCAGAAGAGGATGCACAAAGCTTTGGTGAAATACTTCAAACAACGCAGCCTCTACAGCCAGGCTGAACTGGACCGGTGCCAGGCTCTTTCTCGAGAGACCGACCAGAAAATAAAAACAGCCCAGGTATTTGTACATATACATGTAAAACTGTCTGGAAAAACTTCACAAACTGTCACCACTCATTTAAATGGTAAATCCCTTTATTCAACTTTTATCCCAGTCTAGGTATTCTACCGGATAGAAGCGTATTCTTTTGCATACTACAGTGACTCCATGTTATGCTTGGCATTGTTTGAGCCTCATCCGGCTAGTCAGTTGCCTTGTGTCTTCTTTGCCAAGCAGGGGCAGCCAGGCAAACATCCACCAAGGCTTTGTGCCTCACTCCTATGGTGAAGTTAAAGACACCACTCTTACATTACAGTCTATACATTCACTCATCAGACTGATGTGATGGATGATGTGTCTGCTAGAGTGCCTATGCAGTGACTCCGTGTCTGAGGCTAGTCCTGTCTCTGTAGATATCTCTATATACACACACAACACATAGTGTTTGGTAACATTGCATTAACATTTGAGCCTGTTTCCTGTTTAGCGGGGGCATTTGTGACTTTCATGGCTAATTCGGAGTAAGTTCATTACACCGCGTGGACGGAATCTGTGTTACAGCTTCTCCTTTGTGAATAGAATAACCTTCTGTCTGTCTTGCAGAAGAACAGCAGCATATTCTGCAAGGTTGAGAAGTAAGGATCTTCATTTAGAAGATAATCGGTGTCTAATCTGTGCTGTGATGTGAGATGAGGTCAAAGCGGACGGAGAGACAGTGATGAATCTTTATGAAATGTCCTGTCCAGCATTACCGCAGAGCCAGGTTGCATGCAACCATACTATGGACTATTTCCACCCTTTTTACTTCTTCTATACCTTAAACAGTAGGGCATCCCAAACCTCATGTCATGTCAGTAGCAATCTGTTGTTTTTGTGTAAAATCCCTTTTTTTTGTTGTTGTTTAATTTGTTATTCACCAAAATTTTAATTCAGCTTCATCAGATATGCTGGAGGAAAAATATGCTCAGATTTGATTAAGGTTTTCTAGGGGAGTACCTAGTGAAAATACTATTAAGTGGTTTCCTTCTCAGTTCCTCCTCCTTTGACTGCTGGCATGTTTTTTTGATGGGTCTGGTCCAGACATTACAGGGAGCAGCCATGTCTCACTGGCCCAGCCTCAAAAGGCCCCAGCAGATCACAGCTCAAGGCAGGGAGGAGTAGGGCACAGGGGGAGGAGCTATCAGAGAGCTGCAGAGTGTGAAGGACAAAAGAGCTGGTGTATTCAAGCGCACCACACCGTCACTCGTCACAGCTCAGCACAGGGTCCATCAGAGCAGGCAGCACTCACTTTAAACAGGCTCCTCATGAACAGTCCAGCTCAGGGTCTATCCTCCAAAAAGCACACATGTAGAAAAACCTTTGCGAGAAGAAAGAAAACAACCGTTATTAGTTCATGAGCACATATAAACACACAATCTGCATGATTACCTAAATATTGGGACCTTTAATGTGATCTTATGATCCAGAAAGAATTGCTCTGACTATGCAGATAGTGATAATGCATGTGGTGTTTCAGTAGGTCTGTATTAAACACAAAGCTTCACAATTACATGATATCAATATCGTCGCCACTTTGTAAGAAATAATTGTCAAAACTGATACCAGTTGTAACCAGGCTGAATCCCGACGAGGCCTATACTAATCCATCATGTCTACTTAACCCCACAAGCAGAACATAAGAGAGGTCAGGTTAGTGCTTTCACGGCTAAAGCGTGCTTGAATCACAAGCCAAATGGCAGTTTGCTCAAAAGTAGCTTGAGGGGAGGAAGGCCGGGGAACCCTAGGGTGGGAGTGGGTGGGGGCTTGGTGGTGGTGGTAGTGGGGGGTGCGGCAGGCTGTCATCCTGTTACACTCCTGCCAGAACTGGCAGTTCAGCTTTGTGTTCTGCGAGTTTACACTAGGGATGGCATAATTGACAATGGCTAACAGCGGAGAGCAGTGCAGAGCCTTGTTGAATGGCCAGTAATGATTGGAGCAGACGCCCACTGCCCCAGTCCCAGGGGACAGTAATCCAAGATCCTGTTGCTGATATAATTGTTAGTCAGAGAATTTCTGCATGGCTAGGCTGGTTCAGATTCCCAAGCTGGTTGACAGTGCCAGGCAGTTTAATAGAAAAACTGGATGCTGAGGTTTTTAAAACAGAAGAGCACTGAACCTGGACATGGTTCACCAAGAGCCTCTTGTTCTCCTTCCTCACAAAAATAAGAACACGATGGTAACTTTACTCTCACAATTGTAGATCCACGTCGGCTGTGTGTGGCATGCACACAGAGCGAGGAGTTTGTATTACTGCCTTTCTACAAAAACAGCATTTTCTTAATTAGCTTGTTTCCATGTATTCTTTCTGTCCCTTATTCAAACAGGAGCGGTTGTCAGACGAAATTCAGCTCATCTCTGCGTTCCTGCAAACCTTGACAGACGACTCTACTACCACTGATGATGTCGGGGTGAACAAACAAGCCAGTCCAGATGCCGCTGGATCGAATGAGTAGATGCCTTCAGTTCAAATAGCAGTGTAATTGGACATTCACCTGTACCAGACAACTTACTTACCCTAGCACGCTTCACTATTCCCCCCTCTTTACTTGCAGCAGATCCATAACAATGAAACAGGTGACTTTCATGCTGCTGTCAGGACTGATCTAATTTTAGCTGGGTGAATGATTGCAATTGGCTTTGCCTCATCAGATAATTAATCTATGTCACCATTAATTGGAAAAGAGAATAATTACAGGCAGTGTTGACAGAAATTCTACGCTTCTCCAGATTCCAAGATCTAATTACAACTAGTGAAACCCTGTGACCTTAACTAGCACTTAGTACACCGTGGCCACCTTGACCATGCCCATGTGAGGACCACTGTCTCCTGAAAGACCCCGTATTTGTTATCGCACCCCAGCACTCTTTCACTCGCCTCACTCTCTGAAAGCTGTCTCCCTCAATCACTTTTCAATATTCAATCTTAATTTTGTGGAAGTTTAGCATTTTCAATGAGCTGGAGATGAATGATTAATGAATAAATTTAAATGCTTCATTTTGTCCATGGATCATTAGTTAAGTCCTTTGTGGGAAGGACCTGAGAAAGGAGTGAAAATTATTGAGACATTAGCCTGAAGCAATCCAGGGGTAAATAGTGTGCACAAAAGGATGTTGTGTGCGCACTATCCACTGGCTTTCTAAAGAACCCTGGGGAAACACTGTTTTCAATTTGGAATCTTAACTGAATCACATTTAGTACTTGTAGAAAATTGATTTTTGTTTCATCATGTTTCAACAGTGTCATACTAATGGTACACAACAGTAATGCCTATTCCATATAAACTTTAAAAGTTAAGTAAAATGTTTCTGGATAAACAATACTTGTCTAAATCAGACTTATTACATATTTTTAATTTAGTAAATAATATTAACGGTCATGTAATTCTTGAAGCAGTACACATGCTGTTGATTTTCTTTACAGTTTGAGTGGTTTCAAGGTCGATGCTTTAAGACAGCTCCTTAGAAATATGTGTTGCCCTCTCCTTCTGTCTGTGTCTGGTTGATAGAGATGCTGTTGTTTTGTTGGTACGCCGGATGCCTCTCCTACTCATGGGGACAGAAGGGGGCAGTGTGAACACAACAACCTCAGAAGGACATAATTGACTGCAACATGGTCCAGTCCAGCCATAGCATTTCATCTCAAATTAATGATTATTCTCATTCCATCAATTGAAATTAGAAATCATTTTAGTTACAAAAAATATGATAGAAGTATTCAAACATTTTTACAAAGTCTCTTTTATCTGCAAAAAAAGTGAAATTTCAGAGTTTTAATAAAGTTTTCTTTCTGTAACTTTAAACTTGAATACTCTTTTTTGTACAGTCATAAACATGCAAACATAATGACACTAACGCGGTACCTAACATCGACAATTCGCATGATGCCATTTGATCTCCAGAAGCACCGTAAAGAGAAAAATGCTCAGACATCTCATATTCCTTACTGACTAGATCTCAAATGGAAGTGCCTCCCCAACACATTTATCTACTCTCTTTGCATCTAATCAATCCCCTAAATAAATGAATGTGAGCCACAACTAGATGTCATCACATTTATCTGCAGGCGTGCCTCAAAGTGCACACACCTAAATGCTGCCACTCTTAAGAGGGTAGACTGTGGAAATGCTGATGGGGCTGCTTGACAGCTGAGATGTATTTTCTTCTATGTTAAATGTTTGTTTCAGTATGATGAGGATGGAATATACAGCACAAGCCTCACTGTGTTGTTATATTCTGTGATACATCAAAGCTGGTTTAAAAGATTTTTGTAGTTTTGTATAAAGGCATATTTTTGCAAGAGACATGTTGGGAAAATCTGATTTACAGGCAGCATGATTCTCAATTTCAGCCTGGCGCCACCATGCAGACGATGGGCCCGTTTCGTTTGGATTCACTCCACTGATCACTTCTGATCATTGACGTGAAGCCAAGTGAATCAGAGCAACGTTCTGTCTTCTCAAGCTAACCCAAATTCTGTTTTGAGATCTTTTTAAAACCAGGAAGATGGAGGTGTCCACTCAAACCGTCCTGTCTTTGTTCATAAGCAAGTGGAGAGTTGAGCCATGGAGCTGATGGAGTCAAGGAAAGAATGTGAGTTGAGAGAGGTGCTACTGTGTCTAAAATATCAATGAGGGAGATGCTGCCAAGTTTTGGAGCACACAAGAGGGAATGGGTCTTCTGTTAACATAGAGTAGACCAGGCAGTTCTGCACTGCTTTGAATGGTAACTGTATTTTATCTTATAGAGAAGATTTTATTTTATTTTAACTAGATAATTTTAAACATGTCTTACTGATCATTCCCTTCATTATTTATACACTGCAGTATGTGATTAGGGAGTGTGCTCCTTTAAAGTTTAAGTAACTACAGCATCTGTCATTCAGTCATACTGTACAGCTTAACAATACACTGGAACTGTGTGTTTGCCCAGGTGAGTCTTTAATGTGGAACTCCGCAGAAAACATGCCAAGCAAATTCATCAGTATAACAATACATGTTCCTTGTGTTTCCACACTCATTTGATTTCAAAGATATTTATCTTAACAGGATAATAATTTGTGAAAGTCTCTGACATTTGTGGCTAGCTAGCATGATAATAAATCCATGGCTTGGAACATTTTTTAGTTAATTAGAGTCAATCAATCCAAACTTTGCTCACTTACCGGTGTGAAACCGGAGTATAATGAGCAGAAATCAGCATGGTGATTGGAAAACACAAATTACAGCTGTTAAAGAGAAACTCATCCACTTTTCTTCTGTTGATGCCAATGCCTGCTGCGAGGATTTAAAATTAGCATGGCATTCCTTTAATGGATGTTGGGGGAATGTGCTCCTCTATAATTAAAAAACCTGTTAATATCCTCGTAGGTTAAAATAAGAGGGGTTAGTATGATTATATGACATCTCTTTAAAAGGACGTCTTGGTCAGTTGACTGTTAAAACAAAAAATGTCTTTTTTATTTTGTTTTATCATGAGACTAGTATTTCTAAAATAGAAATATACAATATATAATAGAAATATATAGTAGAAATATACACCTAAACTATGTAACTGCTATTTATATGGTACATAGATATATATAATGAGTATTGTAAGTAAATTAAATAACACCTGATAATGGTGTGTGACCATACCAACGAAGTGGTCAGCACTGCTGCTTCAGTAAGATCATGTGGCATATTAATGAACTTCCCTGATATATATGAGACTGTCTTTGCTGTTAAAGGCTGCATATATCTCTATGGTCAGGGCTATATTCCTATTATTCTGGACATATTCCATGCACCTTACATTTATGGTGTAATGATGTGAGTAATAACCTGGTGATGTTAACAGCATCCTACAATAGGACCTTTATCTTTAGCATGATATGACCCGGCTGCTAGCGGCCACAACGTATATGACCTCATCTCTGGATGTAATTTCCTCTCAAGAGCTCTTGGAAGGGGAGAGCTTATGTTGTTGAGCTCATGTTGTCGGGGCTGGTAACAGCAGCTTGCCATTGTATTAATTATTGTCAGGGAATCCAAGGGGTGTAGATAATACAGAATGCACTGGTTGGTCCCATTTGTTTCACTTGTCAGTGGAGTGAATAATTGGGAGTGCTGACCATATTAGACACAGAGAATTTCTAAAACATACGACTCAAACAGTTTCAACACAAAAGTATGGCCTGGAAATTAAAAAGCTTAATGTCTGAGAATTTCAAATCAGTATGGAATAATTTGCTGGGTTCCCATTGCCAAAGGAATTTACTGAAGTTTAACTCAACAACAGTTATTCTGATGCACAGTGAAACATACAGTTAAGAATAATATGCTAAATTGAATTGAATTTTACATTTTATTATAGAGAGACTATACATCGTACCGCCACATTATATTTCATAAAACTTTAAAGCATTTGTTTCCCAGATGTGTATCAGATATTTTGTACCCCAACTTCGTTCTTTAAAGGCTTGAGAACATTGATACAGTTTTAGTAGAAGGGGTTGCTAATACAATGGGGCTCATCTTGCAATTCTCCCAAGGAATAACTATCAGTCCTGCTACAGCAGCTTCAGCGTCCCTAGGTGACCGCGCCACTGAGCCCGTGCTCGCTCCATCGCACCCCACTCCACGCCTGCTGCCACCCTGAAGGTAGATGCATCACGCTGGGGAGAGTGTGCAACAGCAGCCCCCTCTCCCTCCAGCCCGCAAACCTTCTCCACAGCACAGTGGCCTCCTGCGGCCCCTACACATCTCTGGGTCTCCACTACCGCCCTGGTCCCAACAGCCCAGACTCTCCCTCAGGTGAGTCTCCATGCCACCTCCATGTCTCCTCCCACCTGAACTGCACAACTGGTATCCTTTTGTCATTTGAGAAATGCCACACACACACATACTGTACACACACACTTACACACACGCTCCTGTGCTCAGTCTGAAGGGGACACCGCCTGTTCCTTTCTGCTCACCTCCCGGCTGCCGGCTGACTCTCTGAGCCGTGTCTGTGGTGGCTACGGCATGTGTGGGGATCTAGGGGTTTAAAACAGCAGGCCTCCCATACTCCCTGAATGGCAAATATAAGTGCTTCCACTTTATTACACAGTGGACGTTTTATGAATCATCTCTGACTAACTTTGATCTGAGATGACAAGCACGCGCTAATCAGTCCCAGTATCAAAATATATGTCAGAAATATTTTAGCAAGTAAACTCTAGACTGCATTCAAATTTTCAAATTCATCAGGATAAACTCAAGCGGCCATTGGAAATGTTGCACTTTAACTAACCCTTTCATTTCTTTAAGTCATGTGTTTCTTTCACGTCGAAGCTACTCTCAGGAGATGACAAACTGGTACAACCATTGGCACATAAAGTTAAAGTGATAGTTTGCTGGGACTCTGACACAGGAACTACAAATCAGAACCCCTAAAAACTGTATAGAGACTATTTTCATATCCAAAGCAGTCATATCACATAATAATATCATATCACTCTTAACTGTGAATTCTTCTAGGATCATAAAAAATACAGGGAGGCAGATGTTTAATCAAAGGAACCCTGCTTGTGTTTAGACACATTGTTAAACTGGAATTGGGGAGGGGGCGGGGGTCTTTAATTTAAATGCAACTGCTAAAAGCTTAATAATTTAGTATTTACTCTAACCTGCAGTTTGCATTAATTTTGTCTTTCTAAAGAGGCTGTGTGCAGCATTTTCTGTTTCCCCCCTTTTAATATTTTTATCAGACAAAACCTTTAAACTACAACAGTTTCACCAACACATAAATTACAGCTTGCACTTTATAGGTTGCCATACCACACCACACTTAGTTAACAAAATATTTTACAAACAAGATGATATCACCCTCTCCATGATATTAATATGATATGTTCTCTGATCTGTAAACAGCTGGTTATCTTGCTTTTCCACGATAAGAGAAAGTGCTGAGGATTTACGCTTGGTGAGCACATTTGGGCTGAATCTTTCACACGTCACAAATTGCAGATGGGAAGCAGTGATCTTGAACAGCCGATCACATTTCCGTGACCATCTGACACCTTCCATTTAGGAAAATAATACTTTCTATCTTAGCATACCCCTCTGCAGCAGCCAGCAAAAGGAATTATGCCTGGTAGACTTTGCTATTCACAACTTTGGAGCTTCTTCTTTTGTTTTGTTCCATTGCACTGATTAGATTAAATGTTCACTCTTTAATCGGTTATTCAAGGGCACAAAAATGTCTACAGTTTGTGCTGTTTCGTGTTATTTTATACGTTATAAACAATGAGAAACCATGCTATAATGTAAGCATCACACAGGAAGCTCAGGGTGAAATAAGGAGCTTATTATAACATTTACTGTATGAAGTAGATGGTCTTTTCATCCTTTTTGTTTGAAGCTTTCTTTGAAAACTAATCAGTGAACTACTGTATTTAAATAACTGTTGTTATTTACTCTCATACCTGCCCCGTCACATTTCCATAATGTTGAGGACAAAAAGATATTAAGACTTTTTACCCACAGAGTTAGATATGGTATCTGTGTAATATGACAGATTAATATGAGTTGGGTTAACTGGTACAGAGAGTTGTAAATCACTGTGGTGTGATTCTTTGTCTCAAAGGGTTTAATTAGTCTAGAAATTCTTCTCTTATCTGATGACCCCCCACCCCCCACCCCCGTCTGCACACTGCAACAACTTACAACCATAAACGCCCTGCAATCTTGAAGACCAGTGGCCTCAGGAGACTGAGTTGCTACAAAGAGCTGAAAGAGTTGGAAATGGTCATTTTATTGCGTTAGAATAGCTCGCTTGAGACTTGGGTAATGTAGTGCTAACTCAGTGCTAGTACAGATAACAGGATGTGACTCCGAAGTGAAATACAGTGAACTACTGTAATGCCCTGCAGTGTCAAGTGCTTTGAGAACGAGGCAACACTAATAACAATAATACTAGTAAACAGCAATAATACAAACTGCTTTCCTGGCGGTTTCAAACCACCAATTAATACTACAGTATGGTTTTTACTTTGGTGATGATTATTATTTTAGATGCAGTGCACAATCAAATCAGTCATCTCAGAGTTCATGTAAAATGAATTTGCTTGGTATAACTACAAGTGGGGGATATGGAAGCTGCGTGCCTGTCAAATAATCAACCATCAAACTATGTTCTGGTTCCATCTATTATAAATGCTACCTATATGTGGCCAGTTATTGCTTGACGGTAGCATGGTGTTGCTCTATTTCATAGTACATGAACAAAACCATTTATCCCTATCTGTCATTTCATAACTTGTGAGGTATCTGTCACTTCTGGTCCCATGGGAGTCCTGTGTGTAAGTTTATTTTACTCTAATTGAGCTCTTTATTTAATTGACAGTTTATTCTGTCCAAATAACTCATTTCTAACAGTTTTTGATTGGATTTGCATTTATTTTCCTTATTTTGAACCTGCAGCCATGCTGTGTCAACCTACTAATGATTAGGATTACATTACCTGATTATTCATGAACAGGGTTATTGGGAAGGATATGGTCTTAATGTAGATAATAAGATTAGATGACCTTGTTTCCAAGTTTTTAAATCTCAGTGGAAGACATTCAGGACTCAAGTCTCAGGCAGGAGCTGAACATAACTTAAGGGAGTGTGTCTACTGTGGTTTAAGTAAATGATGGGAATATATATATATATATATATAAAGTTACTGGATTGATAATAGGGAGCTGAAAGTTCCTCAGGGCTTTTACATTGTTGGTTTGTTTGTGATAGAGTGCTATGGATTACATGATAAGGTCAAGTGGACATTCAAGACAACAAGGAGTCATATTTTCATTGTGTGCTTCATCAATCAACTTCTTTCAACGGCCAGTCTTGTTGGCTTTGGGGGTTTGTGGAGGTGAAAATGTCTGAGCATCTTTTTATATACAGTCTATGGTAAGCATACAGAATCTGAATATCCAACCGGGACGTACAACACACTATTGTGCATTAGTGGTTGTTGTATTAGGTTTCAACCTTTTGTGTTTGCAGGTAGCTAGACCTCTGGTTGTGAAACAGTGAACTGATCAGACAAGATAATAGCACCTGAAAACGCTGCAAGGTATATTAGACTGTTATTTTCCTGCTTGTTGTTTTTTTTAACTTTACATTACTTTAGGCATGTGTTTGTGTTTCATGGTGTATGTGGCCTGATGCTTTTGTCACATAGAAAAGGGAAACATTATTATTTACTCCCATTATTATAAATGAAATGCTTTTATTTGAAATTATAATCAACGTGTGGCCATTATAGTGCATATGGTATTTATCATACAGATGCAAAACTTGAGTTTGTGTAGAGCACCTTCTTTTGAAGGACTAGCAGGAGCAGAATGAGATGAGGGGTTATTTTGGCGATGGAGATTAAGGCAGGGGCTTTTTGTCATTTGTGCGAGACAAGCCATTCATCCATCCAGTTCACAGCCAAAAAAAGGCTGGTCCCAGAAATTAGCAGTTTCAGCTCAGCAGCAAAGTCGTCGGGCTGTGAAGGCAGAGAGAAATTGACTAATTAGCAATGCGCACTAAAACTTGACGGTTCTCTCTATAACAGCGAGGGAAAGACTCGGTTTTTCTCCCCCTTTCTCTTTTCTTTCTTCCATAGATGTTTGAAATCGCAGTCATTTACGCTCGACAGTTTTTACAATAGCCTTGAGCCATAATTTTGCGAGTCTCTCCAGCATCCATACCCCTGCATGGTCTCTCTCCACCGGCCATGCACGACCGTTTCTCTCCCCAACCGTGGATTTCCTATTACTCTCGTTACGACTCACTGAGCCCCAGGCCCAAGGATAATGATGTGTTGTTTCTTGGTAGCATAATTTGTCACACGTATATTTCTTCTTCTTCTTCTCTTGCAGAAAGCACAGCTCCCTCTCACACACTCACACACTTCTTGTTAATTCAGAAGAACAAATGATCAACGTCAACAAATAACCTGAAATAGTGACTTTATGAGTTGGAATCAATGGTTATTTTGAGGCACCACCGACCATAGACTTTAAAGGAAAGGACATTTCTTAAAAGGAGAACAAAGGAAAATTCAAGTGAGATTATTGGGAACCTGAAGCTTACTTTCTTTTTTTTGTCAAGAGCTGAAGTCAGGTAAGTTTGGCTCCTTCTCAGGCAAGCTGCTCACATCATTTAGTTGTGACAGGCGCTTTTCGTGGATCTGGCTACAACGTTACAGCACGCTTGTGTCAAGTTTACACACACTACGCACATAGAAATCGCTTTTTTGTAGTGACTAAGAAACAATAGATATGCATATTGCGTTTAAGTTTTCCTAAAGCTGCATTTCAGTGAATCATTTTCGATACTCACGTCCGCGTAACTCGGTAGGCTAAAAGCGAAACGCACCCGTACTGCTGCTGACGGCTCGGAGACAAACTAATTGCTTTTGTATGACTCTATGAATCTGTGCGATGTGTAATGTCCTCGTTGTGGGGGTGTGCAGCGAGATAAGAGAAGGGATAAGTGTTAGCTGAATGCTGCATGTTATCCGTCCACCGTGGCGGTTGTCTCTTTTTCCATATCCGACAACTTCAGCCGCGTTACGGAGGGGGAAGCGCTGCAGCATCTCCGTATCCTCGTTTGTTTTGACAGCGCCCTTCAAACCTCAGCCTCCATTTAAATCATCTTGCTCTTGAGTTAAGAATGAATACGAGTGGCACGCTGTGGGAACTACTGCGTTTTTGTTTGTTGCTTTACGACGAGAGCTCAAAGTTGAAAGCGACTGAAGCCGTATTGGATGTAGATTCTCGCCGGCAGGCATGGCATGATGCTTATTCCCCTCTGGATGTACGGGAGATCTGCTCAGTAACTTATTCGAGAAATCGTTTTCCATTGTAATAGTTGACTGATACCATTTATAGGCTACGTGTGTTGTGCAAAATAAATGACCTGAGGTAAATGGCTTGCATGGTTTATTTGTTGCCTAGGTGGCGTTTACAGTCAGGAAGTCATGTCCAGATCGGGTGATAGAACATCCACCTTTGACCCAACACACAGTGACACCCTGCTGCATGGCCTCAATCTCTTATGGAGAAAACAGCTTTTTTGTGATGTGACTCTCACTGCCCAGGGACAGCAGTTCCACTGCCACAAAGCTGTGCTGGCATCCTGCTCCCAGTATTTCAGATCTCTCTTCTCTTCCCATAATGTAATCAACAATGAGGGGAGCAAAGGGGACCAGGGCAGCAGTGGGACCCCCTCATCCTCTCCCGATGACAAGCTGGTGACCCCCAGCGCCAGGCCCATCAATAACCTAGTACTCCAGGGTTGCTCCTCCATTGGACTACGATTAGTGCTGGAGTACCTGTACACTGCCAACGTGACTCTTTCCCTGGACACAGTGGAAGAGGTGCTGTCAGTCAGCAAGATCCTCAACATCCCCCAGATTACCAAGCTCAGCGTGCAGTTCCTCAATGACCAGATCTCTGTGCAGAACTACAAGCAGATCTGCAAGATTGCCGCACTCCATGGACTGGATGAGACCAAGAAGCTGGCCAACAAGTACCTGGTGGAGGATGTGCTGCTGCTGAACTTTGAGGAGATGTGTGCCATGCTAGATGCTCTGCCACCTCCGGTGGAGTCAGAGCTGGCTCTATTCCAGATGTCAGTCCTCTGGCTGGAGCATGACCGCGAGACTCGCATGCACTATGCGCCGGACCTTATGAAGAGGCTGCGCTTCGCCCTTATACCTGCTCCTGAGCTGGTGGAGAGGGTGCAGTCTGTTGACTTCATGAGGAGTGACCCTGTCTGCCAGAAACTACTCCTGGATGCCATGAACTACCACCTGATGCCCTTCAGGCAGCACTGCAGGCAGTCCGTGGCCAGCAGGTGAGGATGAGACAGACAAACACAAATACAGAAAGAGAAACACACAGACATGATTTCACCCACACACACACGCGCAGCAACGAGCTGTTAGAGAGTGGACGGAAGGCAATTAAATGCCTCCCACTTGTTAAATTTGAACAAATTGCCAACTCAAGTATTGCCCACTCGCTCAAGTAGTGGTCCCACCGCCTGTGTAGTCTAGAGCATGTAGGTGGTCAGGCAGAGATTTGAGGTGTGAGGCCCAATTAATGAGGATTGTGGGAGTTTTCCTGAAAAAGAATGCCAACTGTCAAGGGGCTTGATCTACTCTATGCTACACTGTAAACAGAATTACAAGGTTACCTTATGTTTTAGTGAAGAAAAAACAACTCTTTATTTCCTCACACATCTGTGTAATGGCTCTCTAATCAGTGTAGACAAGATGCAGAAAACTAGATAAAGGTTATGTGTTTGATGTGTAGCAAGTCTCATGAATACAATTTGAAATGCTGTAATTAAATTGTTACCAGAATGACATGGTAATTACATAACAGTACATGGATACTTCAGTTATTGAGGCGAACCGTTAACCCAATAAACACAGTCAGAGGGAATTCAGTATATTTAGGTATGTATTATTTCTGAGAAAATGCAGAATTAATCAAATAAGGGATTATCTGACAATGCTCCCTATATTCAGGTTAGATACACATGTCTCACTCTCACACAAATAGGCCAAGCTGCATGTCTTACTTACATGTGTGCCATGATCAGAACTTTAAAGAGCTGGCAAGTAGACCGGTGTTGTTTGTAAGTTGATTGATTGACGGTGCTGTTGTCAGGTTTTGTTTACAGAGCTGAAAATCTTTAGAGTAGTGATGGCATCAGTATTCAAATTTTATATATATATATATATCTTTAAATAGCAGAAAATTAGAGCTGTGGCATTGAGAATCTCAAAATGTGAAAATCAAACTGTGCACAAAGAATCATCAAGTGAAATCACTGTACATGTATATATTCCTCCATCATCCCCATAACATATCTGTTCCCACATATGGACATAAATGAGCAAAGAATCAGGAATAATTAGTTTCACATGCTACTGTTTCTCTCCTCTCTCAATTAATCACCATTCTCTATGTCCAGGGGCCCATTTGCATATGAATAACCCCAAAACACTTCAGAGTGGGCCAGTAGCAGAGAGAATGTACCGAGACAACCGTGATTTTCCCAAGCATAAAAAGTAAAATATGAAAAAGGAAAAAAGGTGAATGTGACTGAATATAAAGGCCAGCTACTCTTAATCTTTTTCTGCATATTGTGATTAATTGGTAGATTTGTGTTGAAATCCATTAGGAGCCAGATAATTGTCATTAATGTACAGTAAAGTCTGCGGCTTTTCGGTTATATATCATATACAAACAGCAGGAAATATCTTACAACTTGCTCAGAGATGTCACATGAATCATTGCAGCCAATGAAATGGAGACATTGTATAGGCAGGTTTATGTACTCAATTGTGCTTTTAGCCTCCAGCATGGCCCCCTGCACGACTTGTGTTCATTTCACAGCTAATTGAAAAGATATCTTTAGAGAACAATAACCATTCAATAACACATCAAAAGATCAATACGGTGTTGAGCAATTGTTCGTTAATTGTGATAAACATGGCCACATATTGCCTGATTAGTAGTCTCAAGTTCAGTAGTTGTACCCAGACAGCAGTTATTCATTTGACCATGAATTTTCATTCACTGATTATTTCATTCCTACAATAAGCGCAGAGTGAAAAATAAAAATAGGCTTTGCAGGTGCTGTTAATACTGTTAAAGTAATTATGTAAATGAAGGATTAAAGGTGTCCAGATTCAGGTTGTGCTTATTTTGGCCTTTGGACGTTTTATTTCAAGTCTTAATACCTGTTTTGTTCTATGTTTCCCAACACTTGTCCAAACACCCACACTTCTGACATTACAGAATCCGTTCCAATAAAAGAATGCTGTTACTGGTGGGTGGTTTGCCTCCTGGACCTGATCGTCTCCCCAGCAATTTGGTCCAGTACTATGACGACGAGAAAAAGACATGGAAGATCCTCACAAGTGAGTGGCAAAGGCTCTGCTGCATTTTTTTTTACCTGAGGCATCTTGTGTTAGTGGTTTTTATGATGAGAGAAAGTTGTTCCTATGGATGACTTTAACACAGGTTAATTTCCACAGAAAATGAGGGGAAGGAGTTCCCTAAGTCCTTTAGGTAATAATGTATCACTATCACTTTTAATATAAGTTTTTAATCAGAGCGTGACTTCACAGCACTGTGGAGCTTCATGCCCGGTTTCCCTTGTTTTTTGCTGAAATATGCTGGCAGGATGCATGATGAGATTTGCTTGCATCTAATGATCTATTGTGGCAGAGAACAATAATGAAAGACATATTTCCTCAATAGCTTTTAAATGTAGCTTGATTATTCACTCACATTGATCAATACATGAAATTGAATTACCCTATACATATTTTAACGCAGCATGGAATTAGCCTGTTGACCTATGAGTTAAATACCAAAGAGATGGATGGGGTTAGTGGAACACAGCAGCTGTAATGTTGATGCAAACATTTCACAATATATAATGATAATGATTTTAGTTGACTAAATGGAAAAAATAAAATATATTAAGACGTATCCTGTAACCTGTAGGAATTTTATACTAGGGTACAGTTTATAATATTGATTTCATAAGGTTACATTGAGAGCAAGTTGTCACAATTGAACCAAAAAAATCTATTCTATTGAACAAAATGTGGTGTCTGTAGAGAACATATTTGAAGCCTTTCCTGCAGGACTCACCTCTGTAAACTGTACTATGCTCTTTTTTCTTTCTGTCTTCCCTGACCTTTTATGGCTCACCACTATATTGTTGCCATATTGCAAAGGTCAAACAGGATCTAATGGGAAACCAAAAATGTTCTTTGCATCATTATTGTCGGACATATTGAGTTTTTGTCCCTTTGTTTTGGTTGGAGCCATATCTCAGTTGTGTCTCTTCATTTGTACATATTAGCCATAGGTCTGGTCTGTCAGCTTGGTACTGTGCAGTTTGTATTCTCTCTTTATGGCACCAGTTTTGTACTGTATCTGGCAAGGAATTTCTTACATTGTGTCTAATGGTGTCTTAAATTCAGAGAAAGTCTTTGATGTTGTTTCTTCCTCTGCTCGAATCATAACATTTCTTGGCAGTTGTTTGTTATTTTAGCTCATGTTCTATCAGGGGGCATTTTTACTAAAGGAGCCATGCATACACAATAGCCTGAAACTCACTGGTGTTTATATTGTCGTTTTCTCATTTAACTCACACTCCTGGGTATAAACTGCAGCAAGCAAAAGGTCAGTAGGGATTTCCATCACTCAAAACTAAAAAGTTAACACTCAAATGGTCCGTGGCCAAGTGGAAGGACAAAACTGCAAAATCATCCCCTTAACACATCAGTGACCGTCTGATGTAGCCTCCACACAATGGATGTGGAATAGAAGATTATTAACATTCAATCATAACTTTTCAATGAGGCGAAACCTGAGAGGGACAGCCTTTGATTAAGACATTCATCAACACAATTTGGGAAGAATCTGATACCTCTCTGTTGTGTCAGATATATCTACTGCTCTGTGATTGCAGTGTAAAGTTTGCCATCTAGTGTACCCACAGCAGCGTGGACAAACACAAGACAAAGGCAGACACAGGCTCAGCCACAAGGCTGGACTATTCTCTTCTTCTTTTTCTTTTTCTTTTTCTTTTTAAACCAACCTGATATTAAAATCTCCCACTTGGAAATGGACCTCATCTATGCCGCATGCCATGGAACAAAGGAATTCAGCTCAGTAGGATGCAATTGTAATGGTGTAAAAGGCACGTCAGAGCTCGAGCAGCAGTGGTGCATTAGCTGTGGAGTCATTCAACCAACCCCGACTGTGCCTCTATGCAGAGGTTTCTGACTCCCTCTAGTGAGCCCCAGAGCTCACTGTAGACCGGAGTGATGGCGTCCATCTCGTAGAGGACGTGCTCATCCTGCCCTCCCGTGGCTGTTCACCCCTGGGGTTAGTGGAAGATTTAGGGGAGAGGGGGACGGATAGGTAGATTAATTTCACACTCATTCTCAGGTGATAAATCTCAGTGAAGTCTTACACACTGTAGAAGGAAACTTTGATTATTTTCACTGCACAAGACTATTACAGTAGTCTCAGTTATTATATCTTGCCGCTTATCCCACTGTTCACCACTGTGTCTGAGGCACCTGTAGATAATGTCCCAAATCCTCCCACAGAACTCCTCACACTGTAGCCTGTGACATACTGTAAAGCAGTAATCTTCTTTTCACATCGCAACATGAGATGATTTTTAGTATGAGTACAAGTCGCTAGACATCAAATAAAAAGCCACCCATCCGTGTCCTATATACTGTACTGCTGACTGAATGATAATGTAAATAGCATGTAAGGGAATTTGGCAGTCATATGGCACTCGTCTTTGAGGTGCACTGGAGGCAGGCAACCTAATCCCCTCGTTCAAGATAAAGCTGTGTTTAGTGTATGTACTATTAGTTCCTATCTGAGACTCCCCTCCCACAGAGGACCGGCACATGTCAGCCAGCCAGAGTGAGATTGCAGGGAGAGGCCAATTGGAAAGAAATGAGATTCAAGGCTGTCTAATTTTGCAGCAACTGTGATCCATCAGGCGTTGGGGAGGTGACAGTGGAAATGACTGATGGAGACAGACAGGTGGGCTTTAACATTTCACTGATTTGTGTTCAAAAAGCGCCGGGCCTGAGATTTATTGAGTGAGCACGATCATGTTCATTATGACTGTCACCTAAGACCATTTCTCTACATCTCAATGGGGTCACTTCAGCAAAAGAAGATGGAGGAGAGGAAGGGAGCACAAAAACATACAAAGGGGAAATCTTCTGCAAGGGGGTCCTGCTGTAGCTGTGGGCTCTTTATGCTAACTTTGTGTTAACACATGATGAGTAGTATGATACACTAAAGATCATATTTACTGGATGTACTTCATATATTACTAATTGAACGGCTGTTGTGGCATATTTTAATGGTAGATGAAGAGAAAAGGAAAACTATTCCACTGTGAGATTCAGTCTTTACTGGTGGGTGAGTTAGATCCCCGAAATAGAAACATATTTGCCTTATCAGATGGATGGATGGATGGATAGATAGATAGATAGATAAGCTCACAGTAACAATTGTGAAAAAATTGGCTGAAATTGGCTGCTTCAAGCACGTTGGCCCGTTGTGATGACTACATTGCAAATTAAATCAGTCTTGACATTAACATGTACTACGAGCACTTCTTGTCAAACAATGGGGATACTCAGCATGACAAAGTAAGAATAGTCACTGAATGAGAAACGCTGCCAGTACAAATATTGCTTATTAAAAAGTTAAGATAACATTTTGCATTTTGGATATGTTTTATAAATAACACCCAATTTGTCACTAACATTTAATGTCCTGACCAGTAGACCTGTATCACATGCAATGTGGTTCAACAAAAGCCAGTAATTTTTAAAGCTTTGCTTCATGACGGGTCAGCGTAGTTTCACAGGTGCAGTTGAGGCGCAGGCCTACATCATTAAATAAGTTGTTTGTTTGATTATTATTATAGTCCAAAACTGATTTATTATTCTTATTCATTAGTTTTTAGGATTATATCGGAGGGCAGATGTAATTTATTTCAGTGCATTAAGTACTCACAGAGTTACAGCAATTTATGCTAATAGTGAAAAAACTCATGCACAAGATTGTATGATCTGTGTTGCACTACAAGACAGAAGATGCCATGATGTTATTTACAGTACAGTTATGAAATCATAACATTTACTTATTTAGCTGATGCTTTTATCCAAAGTGACTTACAATTGCTATATATATATGTCAGAGGTCGCACGCCTCTGGAGCAACTAAGGGTTAAGTGTCTTGCTTGGGGACACATTCGTGGTGTTACAGTGGGGAATTGAACCCGGGTCAATCGCACCAAAGGCATGCGTCTTATCCCCTACCCCATCACCAGTTTGATCCAAACTTTAAAAGAGAGGGCCATATTTGGCCCACAGGGTACTATTTGCCTACTACTAATCATTCAATCATTCACATGTCTTAGTGATTGACTCCTTTGATCTTTGTGTCTCGTCTAGTAATGCCTTACAACAGCGCCCATCACTGTGTGGTGGAGGTGGAGAACTTCCTGCTGCTGCTGGGTGGAGAGGACCAGTGGAACCCCAACGGTACAGTAACACCACGGACTGAACGTCTTGCTTTCCAGTGATTTTACACAGCAAATTTATCAGTGTTTACTTTTTTTAAAGAGCGCTATGAGCTTGAGTTGATGCAAGTTCAAACCCATCAGAGTTAATGTAACACTTAGATAGTTTTAAAACACTCATCCTCGAGCCAGATCAGCTCTGAGTGGACAAACAACACTCCAATCAACACTTGTCAATAATTGCCGCAGAAAAATAACTGTTATTAACACTGAAATATTTGTGATGTAGAAGTGTTAAGAGTGCTTTTTGTGAAATGGTGGTAACACACTGCCATACTAAGAAACAAAGACTGTAAATGATCAAAAACTTTGATACTATCCTTATGTCCTTATTTCACCAAGAATCATAACACAATAGTGAAACACAGTAGTGTTTATTTAGCTCTGAGAGTAAAAATCAACACAGAAACAACACACATCATTAGAGATAATTTATGATGTGATTTGATTTTCAACAGCTTATCCTCCACAAAAAACAGACTTCACTCAACACTTGTTAACTCTAATAGTGTTGAAAAGCAGCACATATTAATACTGAAAATTATCAGGTGTGGGTGGTGATTTTCAGATAATGCATTTATTTAAATGAAGACTTCTCATAGTCTCAGTTGTGCTTTTCATTGGTACTGCCTGTAATAAAGACTTTGGCAAAGACTTAGCCAATTAGAACGGAGCACTGCCATAGTCTGCCTAAACAGTATTGTGCCATAAAGACTCTACTCACTTAACTAAGTCATTTGTGTAATCAGTGTCATTGATCTTGATTGTATCTGTTTTGCAGGAAAGCACAGCACTAATTTTGTCAGCCGCTATGATCCCAGATTCAACAGCTGGATACAGCTGCCTCCTATGCAGGAGAGGTAAGTCTATTTGTGGTTGAATCCAGATTTGTTTTTTAACTCCACAAATGTTATTTACTTATAATAAGTCATATATAAAACATTGTGATAAAATGAAAAGCATTAGATTTTTATCAGTTTGCATACAGATATGGTATTATGCTATCTGTTACTCAAAATATATTGTCTTTTTTGAAATTTTATTTATTTATTAAATAAAAGATAAAGTAAATTAATTATCCCCATTTCACTAGTGTAAGAACAGGTGCTCACAGCTGGTAAACATGTAACTAGCCTTTATTCAAATCTATCCTTTCTACCTTACACACAAACTGTGGAATATCCTTACAATAAATCCTGTCATCGCTGGTTTAATGATGTTGTCTGGGCGACACTTCCTTCCTCAGGAGAGCCAGTTTCTTTGCCTGCCGCCTGGAAAAGCACCTGTACGTGATTGGTGGTAGGAACGAGAGCGGCTACCTCTCCAGTGTAGAGTCTTACAACCTGGAGACTAACGAGTGGAACTACGTGTCGTCTCTGCCGCAGCCTCTGGCCGCCCATGCAGGAGCAGTGCACAACGGCAAGATCTACATATCAGGTCAGGAGAGACCTTGTCACTCATACACACTTATTATACTGTCTTCTTATTTAACTTTCTGCAAATAATTTTTTTATCCCTCTGCAACGTAAAATACACAGAATCTTTTTTTTTGCTTAGCATTTGAAAAAGATAAATACATCCTCTAAAAAGGTATTATATGATATGTATTTGGCACAACAATATCAATTAATCTTCTTTATTTTCAGAGCTGGTTAAATTTGTTGTACAGTCATATTAAAACAACAGTGACCATCAGCAACACATACACAGAAGGCTGGAGGATAAGTTTTACTTTTTAGTATTTAGAGTATTTCCATTTCTGCCTCTTTAAACTTCTGTTCCAGTACAGTTTAGAGCGAAATATTTTACTTTTTACACCATTACATTTGTTTAACAGTTATTCGTTCCTTGGCATATAAAGATTTTATAAACAGAACAGAACATGTGATCAGTTCACTATAACCCTTTACAACATTAAAGTGCTACTTACACAATAATGAATCAGCATTTCTAATAAGCTAACCATAATATATGTGATTATAATACACTAACCGGTGTTATTCTGCTCCATAATGAGCACTTACTTTAAGATTTTGCTGATAATACTTAGTAGTATTAGCACTTTTACTTGAGAATGATTTTTAACGCAGGACTTCTGTTTACTCTGAATACAACACAAATGGCACAAATCCAAAACACATAAAATATAACAACTAACAAAACACAAAGAGACAAAGAAAAAACTGTAGAAGTAGCCATCATATCACACAGATAAAAGTGCAAAGCCATACAATAAGTGACAGGAGGAGGGTCACAACAATTCTCACTGAAGTGACAGTTGGCTGCAGCAGTGAGGAGAAGAGATTTAAAGTTTGAAAGCAACAACATGATTGGCTAATTGAGACTGTGGCAAAAATCTGGTTGGTTTAACCGAAAGAGTAAACGCCAGTAGTCATCTGATTAAGAAGAAGTAGGGAGAGAGAGAGAGAATTGTGAATGAATGAGGCATAAAGAGAGTCTTTCTGAGCTGAGCTTCATCAGTACTACTCTATAATCAGGAACAAGTGAGCCCTACATCTTTTTATCCTCTCACCAAGCACTGTCAAGGGAAAAATGGAGGTCCAAATCTCCTTTCACAGGCTGGACAGACAATGTAGAATGTCGTTTTTCTTCCTGAGGACATGATTAAATACCTGGTTTACCCATTTGATTTGATTGTCTCCAGGCAAGGTTTCTTGCAAAGTGCGTACTTGCAGCGCCAGGGTACCATGAACCGCCGCTATACAAATGTTTTATAACCAACACATTATCATTTAAATATATATATAACGTTTATACAATACTTCTGCTTTCTGGAATCAATAATGATATCTTTTGTTTTAGTTAGACTCATCACACCAACGCAGAAATTCATAAACCAAAATCCCCCTCTTCCAAAAGCTGATCCACACTGAATCATCTGTGAACTTTATGACGTGACTACTGTACTGTACTGTACACTACGCCAGTCATTTCAACAGAAAACTAAAAGAAGAGAACCAAGGCACCAGCCTTGAGTGGAACCTGTGTTTGAATAAAGCTAGTTTGAGAAGACACTATTAACTCTGACGCACTGCAACCAGTCAAAAAATAAATAAAAAGTTTAGCCGGTGATACAAAAATCTTGTTTAAAAAAGAGCAGAGTTTCTCTGTAAGCACATGTGGCTGTATTAAAAGTAATAAAATAAATCAATAATCTATAATTACTTATCAAAGTATATTTCATGGGAACCCTGGTAATGATTAGGTTCAGCAATAAATCAATAAATATTTCTCTCATTGATCAGCATACATGTGTCAGTTTGCTCTACAGAGGATGTCACATAAGCAGCCGGTGCGTCTACCTACAGATTGAATTTCCACGCGCCATTAAAGGCATAGTGCTGTATTTACCTGTTGCAGGAGGAGTGCACAATGGAGAGTATGTGTCCTGGCTCTACTGTTATGACCCCATAATGGACGTGTGGGCTCGGAAACAGGACATGAACACAAAGCGTGCCATTCATGCCCTGGCTGGAATGAACGACCGCTTATATGCTATTGGTGGAAACCATTTGAAAGGTAAGTACTCGAGCGTTTCAGGAACTAAAAAACAGGTCAAGATTGATGCTTTTTTTCAAATCTGTGTGAAAGAGACAGCCATTATGAGCAGGCGGCAATGACCTTTATTACACTGTGGACCTGTAGTCCCTCTTCTCTTTCACACTTCATCATTCAAGCAAAATGAAAAACTGAACAAACAACTGAATTACTCTTGTGTGTTGTGCATTTGTATTTGATCAGCAAGGCTGAATACTGGTATTTGAATAGGAATTATGACGAGCTGAACATGTATGTGTTTCTTTGAAATACAGTCCATCACTACAAATATGAAAGACGGTTAAATGTTCATCTACAATACATGTTGCACGACTCTAATTGGGTTTTCATTGCCACAGTTTCACATTCAGCGCTTTGATCTGTCACAACTGTATCTAGGCTAATTGAAGTTGTGGCTTATTTCTCAGGCTTATGATAAATTACTGCATGTCTTTGTCCGTTGTTTATTTTTCTGGGGTGGATGTGTGCTTCTTTACTGCCTTTACTGGGTGCATGGGTGTTTGTACATTGAATTTACTTTACACTACAGATTTTGGCAATGTTCACGTACTTGTGAAAAAAAGAAGAAACAAAAAGAGTCAGTCTAAAGAATGACTGATCCAGATGTGAATGTTTCATCTGTTGTTAGTGGCCTTCATTGCTATCAGTATATTGCCTGAGCAACAAGTTAAACAGAAACTAGAGCACAATGGCCAAATACCTGTGTATGATACACTGCATTCAAACCTTGATTTCAAACCTAATTTTTTACGTATTTCGATAACAGGGGTTCTTAACCGTTCTGGCAGTCCGACCCCTTTTTGAGGTTGAAAATATTTTCGCGATTGTCCGGAGACTGCAACAAACTGTCCCAGACTCATCCTAAAATAAGCCTTAAACAGACCATCATTAACACAAAGCCCCTGGACCAACTGGTAGACTACTACCAGCAGTGTGTCCTTTTTCTGAGGGTCTCATGTACCCGCACGGATCTCCGTTTCCCTGTGTCCTGTGTGTTTGTACACCTCTCACACTCAGTGCCAGAGATGGAGCCCACCGTTTGTCTATTTTTTTTTAAAAGCACATGTTTTTAACAACAAAAGACTCAGACATGTGAGTTGTGATAAAGTTTCTGCTAAAATGAATAAAATGTTATTACTTAACAGCAAACCAAAGATTACAGATCGCTGGCGATATGGTTGCCTAGCAACATTAAAAAACGGCATTGCTGTGCGTCTCGCGTTTTCGAACCTGCAAAGAGCTTTCTGTCTGATCGGGGCCTGATTCTTCTTTGGCGTTTTATAGCAGTTGGCATTACCACCACCTACTGGATTAAACAGTGCAAAATATTTACAGTGTCCACCCAAAGTGATTCCATTCACAACTGTAGTCTGTCTAGTTATTTTTAAGTTTTTATTTTTATTTTTGTGTCTATAGTAGAATTCTCTAGACCCCCATGGGACCAGATCATGACCCCCAGGGGGGACCCAACCCCCAGTTTAAGAACCACTGCTCTATAACATTAAATATTCATGAATACATAATGCAACAATTTAGACGAGTGAAATCATACAAAAAAAATACATTTATTGCTTAAAATCTCAGCTGATCAGGGGTGCGTTTCCCAAAAGCATTGTTGCTAACTGCGGTAGCAACTTCCTTGGTCGGAAAAATTCAGTTGCGTTGCAACTGTTTCCCAAAACCCTAGGTCGAACTATGGAGGTAACTAAGTTGGTAACTTAGATGGTACGAACCATCGTTAGGTGACGCAGGTGTTCCGCAAAACCATAGTTCTGACGAATGTTCGCCACCACTGTCGTTAAGTTGTATAGTTCAAACTACAGCTCCAGTTGCATTAATTCAATAATAAGTATCTTAGTGTAGACCATCTACAAACAGCAGGTGTTTTTCTCACAGATTACCCATCTGTTCACAATAACTTCATTTAATATTAGTCACCCAGTAGGACTACAAGGACAAAATGGAGAATGTAAAGACAAGACTTTTAATATTACCTTCATGCATACATTTCTAGGCCTATGAGGAAGATGGATGTTCTCTAGTCTTCATTAAAAATATAAATGTAAAAAGGGACAGCATAAAACTCCTGAAAGTACTGTAATGAATAAATCCCTGAGAGGTGTCGTTGCCATTATAACAAACATGAATAGAGAACTCACGGGATTCGAACCCGTGTCTGTCTCAATAGAGAACGTTCACATGTGCAACCGCTTATGACACTGAGCTATTCTCAAGACCTTGTAATCAATTGCGGCCAAGGGATTCATAATAGTGTTAAAGTGTTAAAGTATTTTACTGAATGTTTTGTAATCGATAATAGTTCTTGGTTTTTTCTTCTAAAATGTTGCTATTGCTATAGAACAGTTATAGCCTATATTTAGGCTAAATAAAATAAAGTTATATATTATTTATATTGTTGATTTCATTAAAAGCCTGCTATTGTTGATTTTCTTGTAATTGCAGCTACAACAACAATATGAAAAGCATAAATAATAAGCTAGCATAATAATGTCACCTAATATCGGTCACAAATTACATATTTAGGCAGAATATGACAACGTTTTGTGAGTTTCGTGCTGTGAAAGTCAGACGAACACACCTGGGAACATGTTAGTTCGAACTATGTTGGTTCAAACTAAGTTAGTTATTCATGTAGGCTCCCATCGCTCAGAGTATGAAGCTGATTGCAAAAATGTGTTTTTAGGGCCTTTAAAGTCAAACAAACAGCTTGTTACTGTAACCTGGACCTTCAATTACAGGTCATACTAACTGCATTTGATACGCTGAAGTACTGTCATTATTTTAAGATATTTTTCCTCCTCTCTCACAAAGGTTTCTCCCATCTAGACGTGATGTTGGTGGAGTGTTACGACCCAAAAGCTGACCAGTGGAACATCCTGCAGACACCCATCCTGGAGGGTCGCAGCGGCCCTGGCTGTGCTGTTTTGGATGACAGCATCTTCCTCGTGGGAGGCTACAGCTGGAGCATGGTATATTCTTACACTTCAGATTAGATTATTTTAGATTAAAGAATAAGGCTGGCAAAATTTAATATATTTTTATTATTGTCAGCAAAATTCCATGAAAAGACCAAAACCAAGAATGTGTTTGTCGTAATTCTGTCTGTGGCACAGGTCAGGAATATATTCTTTAATTTCTTTTTTTTTTTTAAATTCGTAAACATCTGGGCACTGTAGTTTTTAGAAAACAGGAATAAATAGTGGATTTTTTGGGGATTATTTGCAGCTGCAGATTAACACACATTTGTTGCGCTAGCAAGAATTTCAGGCAGCAGGACGGCACATTTCATTTCATTTATTAGGATCCCCATTAGCTATTCTTCCTGTGGTCACAAAACTCTATACAGTGTAGTACACAATTACAGAAAGTCACAAACACCAACACAACAAAGTCAAAGACAATACAACCATACAAAAACACGATATAACACACTACATAACCCAGCTCTCATCAGTAACAATCAATCAACAGAACAAACAGAAGAAAAAGAAAATAAGAAAAAAAATATATATAATAATATATATATATATATATTATCTAGACATCATATTGCACTATCTAGAATCTAAGCGTCCTTAGATGAGGACGCCAGGAGATTTCGCCAGGAGATGTTGTTTCAGTGACATTTTAAAGCTATTTTTACTGTTCTCCTGAATAATATGCGGTGTTCCATGCAACCATGGCTCTATACATTACAGTGTTCTTCATCATACTGGTTTTCGTTTTGGGTAGTGTAAACCTGCCCTCAGTAGCATGCCTGGTATAATAGCCATGCACATCTGAGCTCCAACATAGCTGTCTATATAGTACCCTTGGTAATTTAGTAAGTTATTTTTTATAAAATGAAGCAAAGAGGCAGTACATTTATATTTTACCTTTAGCCAGCTATACATTGTATTTACATGTGTTTTATATGAGTATCGAAGTGTGCGAACATGCTGCTTTATTCTGAACAACTTGCAATTTTTTCATCTGAATCATGGAAGCACTGGACCACTGAGCAATAATCCAGATGAGATAGAACTAATGCCTGAATAATCTGTCCCATTACATTTTTTGGTAAAAATTTAAAACATCTCCTAATTACTGAAAGACCTCTTCCCATCTTGCTCACCAATTCATCAATATGCGTTGTCCATGATAATTTACTATCTATTGTAATACCTAAAAGTTTAATCTCTTGGACTTGATCAACTGCAACATCATTAACATGCAACTTTAACCTAGGCTCATTTCTTAAAAAATGACTTGTCCCAAATACAATGCTCTTTGTTTTAGAGACATTAAGAAGTTGTTTGTTATTCGTTACCCAGTCAACTACAAACTGCAATTCCCTATTTAAAGCTCTTGCAAGTTCTTCAATCGTGGGTTCTGCCATGTATACTGTTGTATCATCAGCATAAATGCTAACTTTTGCCCTATGCATGATTAATGGTAATTCATTTGTAAACACAGCGTATAACAATGGACCTAAGCAGCTTCCTTGAGGAACTCCATGTGTGTCTGACTCAAAATATACTAGTATGTGTTTGTGGTAATAAAGGAACGTGTCACCAAGCGCAGCAGTGCGTCTTATTGATGTGTTTTTAATAATTTTTGTGAAGGAAGTGAAGGTCTGCCGCACAGAGCAATAAGCTAGATTTGGCTACACAGGCAGTACCTGTTAGAAGGTTGTTGGTTTTGGTATTTTCATGAAATTTGTCGACAAAGAAAAAATATAGAAACAGACTTAATCTTTAAAGTTGTCCCTGCTGTTTTTGACTACATGCATTTATATAAAACTGAGCATTTACATTCCACAAGGGACTGACTTCATTTTATTTTTTCCTCAGGGGGCCTATAAGTCTTCTACCATCTGCTACAGCCCAGAGAAAGGAACATGGACAGAGTTGGAAGGAGAGGTGGCGGAGCCCTTAGCGGGCCCAGCCTGTTCCAACGTCATATTGCCCGCCTGCCTTCCCTTTAACAAATGACAACTAATCCAACGGACAGGCAGAGAGAGCGAGGAGCAGCAGAGCGAATGGGGGGAGGACCATTAATAAGCAAAATGGTTGTCAACAATTTTGTCACAAACCCACCGGTCAGACAACGGTGGTGTGTGTATAAATTATTTTTTTACAGGTTTGACCAGAGCACTTTCGTTATTCCCTACTGAAGGTTTGAAAAAAAATTGTGTTACTCCTGTATTTAAGCTCATCTGTGTTCTGAGAAATGGTCAGTTTCATACTTGATTTAATTTAAACTAATAGTAAGTGTTTTTGGCTTCTCTTCTATAGCACGCATAGTGTTGAACTGAATAATAGCTTTCAAATCCATTGTATCTTGTATTCAGTAGAGGCATAATTCCAGCAAAATGCAGCATTGTTTCGTGGACTGACACTGGGAGGAAAGGTGCTCAGTCCTAAATTGTCATGGGTTTGAGTTAAACTAGGGCTGGGTGAGTTACATTAACTGTGATGATCAAAGTGTATAAATATTCATCACTCATGATATAACAAATTTTTCTGTGGCTGGATTGTGCACTTATCCTGCTGTGTCACCTCGTCAGATCATTATGTAACTGGTTTGTTTTCTATTTACGTGTCTAAAAGTTTTCCTGACAGAAGCTGTTATTATTTAACTGACAGGGTTTGAACAAAAGTACATGGAAACTAGACCTGCACACAGGTATATTGGGGTTCATACGCTGTTCAAGAAATACACAATTGCACAATGATCTTTATGAGAATGTGTCTAGATCACCCAGCCCTAATTTTAAAGTAATTATCTTAATGATTTACACCCAGACTAAAGTCGTGTTTCTGTAGAACTTGTCGAACAGAGAGTTCCCTACAGGTTATCTGCTTGACAAAAAAAAATCTTGCCAAATGTTTGTGGCAACTATTCTTCATGCTGCAAGCAAAACAATTTACGATAAACAAAAGGTTTATCATTGATTCTCAAATATTCCTATCACGCACTAATGTTCACATTAATTATACAGTGATGGTACAATCAAATTGAAATTGCTAGCCAATATATTTATGGGTGGCATGTTTGGGTAAACGGACGGAGAGGACATTAGTGTGGTTTGTTCTCCTTCACAAGTAACTGCTAACAGCTGGCCTGTTTATGAGGCCACATAGCATTACCTTGACCTTGGATTTTAATCTTTGATGTATGAAAAACAAACAAGCATACAGTGGTCCTTTATGCACTAATAGTGAACTTTTAATTCAGCAAACAAAGCTCACTAAAATGTAAATTAATCAATGTGCTGTGTAAAAAAAAAAAAAAAAGATTCAGTCCAGTCTAGTCTACGTTATTAAGTTAAAAAAGTTGACTCTAAATATTGATGCAGTACCTGTTGAATTCTGTAAAGATTTGTTGATTTTATTCTTGTACATAATCGCTTGCAGTGAAACATTTTTGTGCACTCAACCTTGGATTTATTCTCAAATCCTGTTATGTCCTTTGCATTTTAGAATATGAAAATAAATTGACTCTTGATGATTAAAGTACCTTTCTCAGTTCTTTTGACATTTTAGACAGAAATTAGAATTTATTGTGAACCCTGGTGATGGGAGAAGGTCTCATATAAAGACAAAGTTGTCCCTTTTCCTACATATACTGTGCTAAAAGTTACTTAGATTATGCGATGAGCTTTCGACATAAGAAAACATATTTCTACCATCATATATTTCAAATCATTCGCAAATTTTTGTGTTTTTCTGTACAGTTTTCCGCCTCAAAATTTAATCACACAAGATGCAAAATCTTTCCGTAGTTGGACTGTTCATCATGCAGGTAAGAACAGCTTTACTTTTAACCATGAACCAAAAGTTTTAGAGCCACAGAACACAGAGTCGCATCAAAATCTTTGTAATGACTCATTTAAATTATAAAAACACATATTCACATTTTGACAGAATGAAGCTCAGAAACAAGGCAGCTCTGCTTGCTCGGCATTTAGTTTGTACTTGTGCGTCAAACTAGAGCTAACTTTCAATACTTCACTGAAGACTCCACTATAGTTGCCTTGGCTGCAGATTAATTAATGTCAATATGAGTTAAAGAGTAGATAATACCAATAAAGACATATCTCCACACTGTGAGTCTACAAAAGGTAAGATTATTAATAAATCTGACCTTGAAACACTTTAAGATTTTTTTTTAAATACTCAAAAAAACACAGTGTTACACCAAACAGGAAGAAAACAAAGGGAACCTGATGTTTACCCTCAGGGCAGACTTTCATGCCAGACCAGATTTGATTTGCCAACCATTTACTACCAACTGTCTCATTCACTAAACAGCACACTCTCCCCCCTACGCATACTGTACACCTGACAGTTTGCTTCTAATGTCTTTTTTTCTCTCCCCCTGTCAATGGCAGCAGTTTTTCTGCTCGGCGTCACTACTTCATGCATCCACTTGGCCATGTGCCTAGAGGACGGCAATTATTTCCTCACTGAGATGACTCTGCTAGATTACATAAATCCATATCTAATTCACACAAAATGGCATTGGGACATCAGAAAATACCAGGTGGTCTATGTTTTCACAAAATCCTCAGAGACGTGTCCGACAACAACTACTGAGATACTGCGGAGATTTTTAAATGCTTCCCCTGGTCAATAACTGTAGATGTCATCACTAATAACACACAGCTGAGGGGCAATGAAAGAATAAAATCATCTTGATTAAGACAAAGATTTTGAAAGCTGTCCCAGGACAAACATTAAGAGCTTTAGAAAGAAATACTGAGTGTGTAGCATGTGTGGATTTGAAGTCTTCATTTACCCTTCAGTGTTGGTTGGCGGCAGATGGTTTCTGCACTGCTCTCAGTCCCACTGCTAACACCTCTTCCACAGCTTAGGGAATTGCAGGATTGGTTAAAAATAACAAGGATGACCTTTCAATTAAGTACATGGACCATCATGGCTCTGTTTTAATCACAGAAAATGTATTCTCTGTCCTTGGCTCCAGTTTCAATAGTACTACAGACACATGACACAGTTTTTGTGGTCTGGAAAGGGTTTGTAATATATGTAATATATGGTTTTTTGACAGAGGTATATATATAGTAAATATTATTAAAGCTTACTTTTTTACAGTGCATATATATCAAGCTGAGAATATTAGGTTGTCAATCATGAACATTTCTACCATCTATGCAGAGCTGCAATAAATAGTTGAAGACTTTTTTTCCACACAAAATAGTAACAATTTATTTCATTCATTCATCTAAGCAGTGATGTACTGAAATATTTTATTTAAGTAAAAACAGAAAAGCCATAGTCTAAAGTCTATAGTCTGTTTTTCTCATTAACAAATACATGTAAGAATATGTCAGTGTTGTAGTTCATCATGTGTGGAGACAATTTTAGATACTTTGTATACCACTGGGTAGATTAGCAGCACATCATGTTTTTTTTATGAAAAAAGTAACTACGTAGTAGAGTAGAAGTATAAAGTAGCAGTAAATGGAAAAACTAAACTACTACTAAAGTAAAGTACAAGTACGTCAAAATTGTAGAGTACTTTAGTTACATTCCACCATCTGAGTTTCAGTAGTATCTGTTTTTTTGACAAAATGGATTTATTTTGATGAAATTAACATCCTAATTTGTGAGGCCAAGCCAGCCACTGACAAAGTTGAAAAACACACAGCATAAATCTTTAATCCTACTGTACTTACTGTACCAGTCCTTGCGTCTTTTTAGCATTCATTTGTTTCTTTTTTTCCTCCTTGTATGCAGCATCCCTCTGCTGTTCTGCACCTCCGATTACTCTTCATTAGTCCACTTTTTCTTCTTCACTGAGACATATATATTAGGGAACACAAAGACTGTTAAAATACTGTAGTTACAAGTAGAAATGCACTATAGTGGAACTGTTTAGATGATAACAGACAATACTTTTGTTAGGAAATGGGCACCCTTACAACTTTTATTAAAATTGTTGTCATACATGTCCCTGTTCAAATAAAACAACATAGTTTGACCAAAAAATCCTTTCTCACTTAACTGAGCAACACAACAGTAATTCTTAATCTTCAATCACAGCACAGAAATGCAATTTTTGTACTCTAAGTTGGATGAGACTTCTTATGCTTCAACATTATAACATCAGTTGTAAGTTTATACAGTTTCATGCATCTTTGTCATTTACATACAGCAGTTTAATCACTAAGAAATGCAACAAATGCCACTTCTTGAGGGATACTCTTTTGAGTCTTCCATCAACTAAAAACATGACATCTTTGCTCATTTACATATTTATTGAAGTGGATCATCTTATAAAAGTCATATTACTTTCTTCAAAAAGGAAATTACTTAAGACATGTGAAGTCCAGCAGCTTTGTTTATTTTCTTTCTTTTAATGTTTTTAATTTGTAGTTTATTGTGATAACACTATATTTTATGAGTGCATATCCCTAATCCTTTACCAAGGAGGTTTCCTGGAAAGAACAAAATCATTTGGCATTAATTATAAGTAAAGCAAATTCAGTTGTCACACTTCCAACTGATTTATTCCATAGAAATGCTAAACTATAGATTCATCTAGAGTTTGTAGGTGAATGCGCTGCAGCCAGAAGATGCAAAAATATGCAGTTTGTCTACAAGTAAGCATTCCTTAAACATATATGAATAATTACAAAAATACATTTACTTGGAACAGTTCTTTCAAGGAACCCCTCCTGGAGATTAATAACTGCTTTTAAACTCAATACAACTAATTAACCATCTCAGAAATTTAATATTGAATATTGAAATTTAAAGTTATTCTCTTGGTTTCATAATACATTCCCAGTTACAGAATATCCAGTCCTCTGTGTCACTTACGGTATGATCATAGAGTAAGTTACAGTATTTATTTATTTATTTATTTATTTTATTAACAGTGGTGGAATGTAGTAAAGTACATATACACAGGTATTGTACTAAGGCATAATTTTGAGGTATCTGTACTGTATCTGTAGAACTTAAAGGCAAATATTGTACTTTTACACCACTACATTTATTTGGTAGTTACTTTACAGATCAAGATTTTACACAGAAGCCCTATCATCATCTTATTAAATTGATATATATTTTGGATAACAGGACCCAACAGTTTGTACAGTATACAGATTAATGATCAGTAATAATAATCTTTATGATGATAGGAGCCATTCTGCTAGTAAAGTACTGCGCATTTACTTAATTTTAAAGTGTTTCGTTTATAGTACTTCTAAAAAGCCTTATAAATGATTCCTTTTACTAATAATGGTGAATTTTCAATCCGTTGTATTACTTCTATTAATTAAGAAAAGGATATGAATATTTCTTAAATAATTACTAATTACTTAATTTAGGGGGGGTGGGTTAAATAAGTACATGGTCCGCCCTTAAGGCTTGGGACGGCCCTGCTTTTACACAAACATGGGGAATAGCCTGCAAAAAGAGTAATATTATAGGATGAAGGTGAAGATAAAACCTATAGTGTATTGATGGTAGGCCTAATACAGTTCCTTCTTCACTGAACCTGCTGGGTATCAGGTACGTGTCTATAGTCCACCATCTAGTGGTAAATTTAAATGACTGTGTAGGCTATTTGTGCTCACGCCAGACCACCGTTTTAAACGAACAGCGGGAGGCAGACCTGTTGCATTTACCTCCCTCACTAAAAACTCATCAGATCTCTGGGCAGGTAAACAACTTCTCAGCCGCTGACGACTTGTTCGGACCGCACAATTCAATCAATCCCTTTCAAATGAAGTTTGAAGACACAGGCGTTTCTTCCTGACCCACATAAACTGACTCACATCACCGCAGCCAGTCAGCGAGGATGACTGGGATTATTTCCATGCCTCGCGCCTGTCCCCATGCATGTTTACGTTAATCAGAGCCACGCTCCCCTGGCTCCCAGCCACCCCACGGTATTTATAGCCAAACAGAGGCAATCATCACTCAAGGAATCCTCGCCAAATCCTCCCTGAACCACTAAACTTGGACTGAGTGAGAGGAGCTGCGTTTAGGATCCACCTGATCTGGGCTCTCTGGCGATGAAGGAGCGCGCGTCACCTCAAGGTAAAGGCTGTCAAATTCATTAATCATTTCATCAGTTAATTGATTTTATTTATTTTTTTACTTGCTGTCGCGCGCGCAGCATTGACCCGTCTTCCTCCAGTGAACATTTTTAGCATCTTATTCATCTATTTCTACTTGTCCTGACTGCTGTTGCTGCGTGTTATTTTTTTCTTTTCTTTTCTTCTTCCCACTTGGTTGTGCGTCAAACGCTTAACTCCACGAGGACAAAGCAACAGCATCCTAATTAGCAATACCTGTTAACAGGCTAGTAAATGTATTCATAAATCGATTGCAGACCTGCATATATTAGAATGGGATGGGCAGCTGTTCCTGTATGGCTCTTCAGTGGTTGCACTAATTAAAGCCAAGGAGATCAGGAGCAGGAAATTTGAATTTAGGATAGGAGAGCATCTTTACACAGGTGTTTTA